TCAGTCTCAGTTCGCGATTCTAAAAAATGTCTTGGCAGTCAATCAGGTCAGTTCACTACCTCCAGACTGACAGTTTGAACCGCAAAGATGAACTGACAACTGACTGATTGACTGATAGCAACTCTGGGCGCGAGCAAGAGCCTACGTGCCAACTGCTTCAAGTAAGTTTCAGGTAGTAATTATTAGCAGTAGCTAACATCATCTCAGGGCGCTGAAGGAAGAACTTAAGAAAAATTCGAGCTGCAAAGTCTGCGTAGCAAGATTAGACAGTTGCAAGACCACGAGGAATCTCTCAACGACAAGATCAGTGCCGACGCGTGGCAAACGGCCGATGTGCTCCTTGCTTTTGCCAAACATGATTGCCTCGAGCTTTGCAACAAAGTTTACAAGGCTTTTTCTAGGGAAGTTCGAGACATCATCTATGGATATATTATCGGCTGTGGAGAAGTCGACATATGTTCTGAGAATCATCGCACACGGCACAGGTGTGGTTACCGCTCATCGAATTCGGAAACTCAGAATCCCCTCTGTTCGTCAGGAATGCACACCGACCACTGGTGGAAGAATGATTTCGTAGGTGCCAAGATGGCCCGCGAGATTGGTGAGCATTACTATCGAGAATCTCACTTCCGTTTCAAAGTGGTATTCTCCCAGCTCGTCAGATTTCGCGCGACGGACCAGTTCAATCACGGCTTCCTACCGGTGCACTTCGTCTCAAAGGTGGAGATCGTTGTAGATTGTCGCGAATACAAGTTCCGGCCCATTAGTTCCGCCAAGGACGATGCTTTTGTCGACGAACATCAAGACCAGCTACGCTCAAAGCGCGAATGGTGTTGCTGGGACGATAGGAAACCCCAAGAAGATCTTTTCGTGGAGCTGGAGTACCTGTTTGGTTTTAGACCAGGCATTGGCATTACCATCAGGCTGATGCGATCCCAGCACCACATTCAGACTACCCGTCTTGAAGACCAGGAATGGATGTGTCACCGTGTAGTACCTGTTATCTTTCCGGTACTTCAGCGACTCAAAGACACCAACTGTCGCGCTCGTCTAATTCTCGGTACGGAGACTGATAGCGGGCCCGACGAAGACGGGTACATGCCCTTCGCTTCAAAGTGGAACCCGACATCTATCGAGGCCATCACAGCAGAATTCTGGGAGGTATGTACAAGGGCCTTACTATGTATCGTTGTTTAACAGACTGACACCTGTAGTATGTCGAGACCGAGCACGAACGTGCAGTGCAAGCTGGGCTGGAGGCCGAATCTGACGGAGATGACATACCTTTGGACGGCTTTATCGATGGAGGGAACAGTATTCAATGGGGCGTGGCGCCCGTCTGGGGAGAACAGACTGCGTGATATATTCCTGTTTTCGAGAAGTCTTTGCTTTGTTCAGATTGGGTTTTGTTTCCACACGTACAAGAAGGGACGTGAGCGACTGATGCTGTTCAGGTCACAGTTAGAGTGACCTCTCTACATTTCCTTTCTAGTCTAAAAGTTCTGAAAATTACTCTTGCATGGCTTAAAAACTCATCTTTTATAGGAAGACAGTTCCTTATAGTGCGTTGCCATTTCGTTTCTGATACCTCATTGGATGATCCTTAATCCTACCGCGATACAGAATTTACATTCACGTGAACCAGCGCCCAATGATGTAACACTCGAAGGTGACCTTTCATTCAGCCTATAGGCAGACATACCGGTAATCTCTCTACTTCCTCCACTCGCCTACAAATGAACGCCTTTCTCTGCCATTGAACTTCCCTCTCACGATACACCCTTCCACTCCACCTCTGCCACAGCTGCGGTCCGAGATACCAAGTAAATTACCACGTGTCTTCCCTTCGAAATATGGCGAGTCAAACGGAATCAGAGGAGCGGATGAACAATCTCTGCGGAGAATGTTGCAAGTAAGTCATGTTGGTCAATTGGAAGACAGAAGTTTGACAAACGCTAGACAGCTCCGTACCGGGCTTAAACTCGAAGACCTCTACCAGACAGAGGTCAAGCGACTCGAACGACGGAGTAAAGTATGCAACGGCCAAAAGGAAAAAACCAATGCGGTTCTGAACAAATACGCACAAGCCTCGTGTCGTGAGCTATGTGACCGCATGCTCGAAGTACTTCCCCGCGAACTGCGCGATACCATCTATGGGCACCTTCTACCCCATTCTAACACAGTACCCAAGAGGTTGACTGCCATGGACTTTGATGGCCAGGTTCGCCAAGTTTGCGTCGAGAGTAATGGCTCTGTGGGATTCTCCACTATGATCCCGTTGCATCTCCACGAGACCGAATATAGACCCCAAGATTTTTACCGAGAAATACTTGAAAGACTTTTCCAAACGACTACGTTCGATCTTGGGGACGACTTGAGCCTCATAACGGCGCTTGGGTCATGGGATGGAGGACTCGGCATCATACCTGCTGATTACCCCCTCGACATTTCTTTCCTTATCAAATTCGATTGGTTAGACCTTCGGTGCAAACACGATCCCTGGTTCGTTTATGACACGCCATTATGGCCCAAAGTCTTTCTCACTAGACTAGAAGGATTGTTCAGCTTCAAGCCTGGCACGAAGCTCACCGTCTGTATCCAGCAAGACAACGTCTGGCAACCGATCGCACAAGAGGTTAAGGAATTGGAATGTAAAGCCGTGGTTTCGATCATCTTGCCAACACTGCGAAGGCTCGCCGCCATTGGTACAAAAACTAAGCTGAGTCTGGATGGCGTTTGTGAACTGGAAATCGACAATGATAAGGTAATTCTGGAAGGTATGGAGGACCCATGGAAGAACGCGAGGAGTCATTGAGCTCTTGCTCACTAGGCCACACGCTGACTGCGATAAATGGTAAGGGGCTGCGCTGCGGCTGAACAGGTCCAACGAATGAGCATAGTTGACCTGTATCTCGCGTTGCTGATGTGTGTTATATGCTCGGAATCTTTTCCAGCGAGGAAGGCTTGTAATTTGTCGATTTGGTGTCGCTCTAAACATAGCGGGGTTAGCAACTATCCGATAATGCGGAGTGGCGTCAAGCCCACATCTTGTTGTCTAATCGTGTTAGCCCAAATTGGTGAATTACCTTCCGCACGATTAGTAAAATGTCCACAAAGGATTTGGTTGGCGTAAGCTGAGTGTATTTCCGTGGGTGAGACATGGGGGGCCTGGCCAAGGGTACGACATAATGTTATGCAGGGCATGAGTACCTAAATAAGCGATCAGCAGCACCCTGATAAACAATAGTACTGATACTTCGGCGCAAATGTAGATTTACCATGATCTTCCCTTGTCTTCACGTGTAGGAAAAAAGATATGGCTATAGCAATGGATGAGATATTGGCGGCTGCGCAAATGAATGGCAGTGACTGCACATGCAGGCAACTTCGGAGGCGCGCTTTAAGGTAGGCGCAAATGCATCGGGCAAAGACATCTCCATGATGTACCATCATACTGACACGACCTGTAGAGCACTTTCCGAAGAAAGCATCCGTAAAGCCCGTCTCGCAGCACTACAGCGAGAACTTGCACTTCTGGAAAAGGATCTTGCCAGCACCACACCAATGACACAAGATGCTGTCGAAGAGCTTGCAAAGACGGAATGCCAGCAGCTTGCCAACGCCGTCTTGACTAAATTACCGCGTGAGATCCGCGACATGATCTATTTTCACCTCAGTACACGCGGTCGCGAGCTCATCGAGCGCGAGCATTTTCGGACAACCTTGGACCCACTTACGAGATTATACTCGTATGATTTCGAGAGGTGGAAAGCGCAGCATTTTCCCGCGCACTACTGGAATCCTGAATACGTATCCCAGCGCTTCTACTGCGAGCTCTTGGAAAACTATTACCGTACTAGTACGTTCTTGTTTGGTGATGATCCGGGGGTAATGAAGCGTTTCCTCAACACAGATGAGATGAAACTTGGGGTAGCTCCTAAAGCACTGGTTTCTAGCGTTGAGATTGGGCTGAATGCTGTGTCGCATGATCGAGGCTCCTTCCGCGCTTACATGTTCGGCATACCGAAATCACCAGAGCGAATGCGGGAGGCTCTTGATGGTATCTTTGAACTCAGACCTGGAGCTAGAATCGTGATTCGATTCGTGACCGAGGCGAAAACTAAGGAAGAGAGGGATGAGCATTGTAAAGGAGCGATGAAAATGCTGTTCGACGAAGCGCAGGTGGAGAAGATGAAGATGTACAAGGTCAAGTTGGTGGTTGACGAGGGGAAGGTCTGGGATCTGGCGGAAGCAATGAAGGATGAGTGGATGGCGATTCACGGGTGAAGGTATCATACAACAGGAAGCGACGAACTCATTCTGCTCGATGACAGAGAGCTTAATGACTTGAAAGTGATGATTAGGAAACACGGAGTAAAAGCCACTCGATAGCCGCTAGCGTGTTATCACGGTCAGCTCTCATTGGCCGAGAGATGACGCCATCAGGGTCCAGGGGGAAGGAAGTAGCACCCCGCCGTAGCAAAATTGTTAACGCGAGGCTGCCCAATGCCCCTCGGTGAATGCTTCCACGCGTCAGACTCCTTCCCAGTGTCTTTAAACCTCAATTCACCCCTCTTACTTCATTCAGACGCGTCTCGATTCCATATCGCAAGATGGCCGGCGTTCCGAACACTTATGATGGTGCGCAACCCTCATCCTGCACTTGCTCCGCCCATTGCTTACCCTGTGTATAGCGCCCGTCCACATCGCTGTCATAGGCGGCACTGGCATTTCTTCCCTGCCAGGCTTCACCCTCGCCGCGACTCTCGATGTCGATACGCCATGGGGAAAGCCTTCGTCGCCTGTTTCCATCCTCCAACACCCTTCGCCCTCCTCCGGCAAGCCTATCCCAGTCGCGTTCATCTCGCGACACGGTCTCCACCATGAGCTCGCACCACACGAGGTGAAGAACCAAGCCAACATCGCCGCGCTGCGACACCTCGGCGTGCGCACCATCATTGCCTTCTCCGCCGTCGGATCGCTACAAGAAGAAGTACGACCGCGCGACTTCGTTATCCCCGACCAGATCATCGACCGTACAAAGGGCATCCGGCCATTTACCTTCTTCGAGGGCGGCATGGTCGGCCACGTTGGCTTTGGCGACCCCTTCGACAAGAAGCTGTCCAAGATCGTCAGCCAGTGCGGACACGCGCTAGAGGGAGACGGCGTCACTCTACACGATAAGGGAACGCTCATCTGCATGGAGGGACCGCAGTTCAGCACACGCGCAGAGTCAAACCTCTACCGTGCGTGGGGTGGCAGCGTCATCAACATGTCTGCTCTGCCCGAGGCCAAGCTTGCGCGAGAGGCTGAAATTGGGTACCAGATGATTTGCATGGCCACGGACTACGACTGCTGGAGGGGTGACGGCTCTGAGGATGTCAACGTTGAGATGGTCATGGCACACATGAAGGCAAATGCTGAGAACGCCAGGCGATTCGTCGGCGCGGTGCTCAACGAGCTCAGCAAGGAGGAGCATGTGGAGCAGGTCCTCGCTAAGCACCTCGATGGCCAGATGAGGTTCGCAGGTGCCATGACAAAGAAGGAAGGACGCGGGCAAGAAGCGGAGAAGAAGCTGCAATGGCTCTTCCCTGGCTACTTCGACTGAACGAAAGCTGCCAGCAAGCGCGCTATTGGCAAAGGCGCATGACTTATGACTACGATGTACTCAAATACTGGGAACCTGAAGTTACGCTATCCAGATGAAGAACTACTGCATGCGCCCGACGGCTCTCCAAATTATTGGAGGTACGATGCAGCCAGTGAAGCCTATTGCGGAAGGTCGATAGCATAGGTAACTCCAAATACATTCCGTGTTTACATCATGGAAAATGTACGTTAGCCATATCGATAACTATCCGTCCCCAGCAGCCCGTTGGACGCCCGCGGGCACACTTGTCAAGCCTTCGATCTCACGATTCGCTCTCTTAGCACCTTCCTTTCTCGTCCAAGATCTACATCTACAGCTGCCGCAATCGCAGCTGCACTTTCCCAGCCTCAACAATAGGCTCTTATGTCCATTTCCAAGAACATGAGACACGACTAAATATTCGAATAGGAGTTTTCGACAATGTGGACATGTCTGTCCAGATGACACCCATGTACTACGCTGATCAGATACCAGGGTATGCAACTCGATTAGATGAATAGTACCTGCATACCGACCGTTACCACGCGACGGTTAACGCACACTGAAATTCGGTACGCCAGCGCTGTACCTCTTATCATGCAGATCGATATACTACCAGGATCGAATTTGCGCCGCGGGGAAGACGCGCGCGCAGCATAACCCTGGTCTGACATGGGTGAACAACGGCAGTCTTTGTCGGGTCGACACGGGAAGCATGAGTATAAGAAATATGACATTGTACACAGTCGTAAAGCAACTTCTGTTCGACCTCGTATCAAGGCATCACTTTCTTACCGAACGGTAGCCGTTGCGATCGCCACCATGGTTTCGGCGTGGTTCTTGACTAAGGTCTTGGTGGCTTTTGCGCCACTGACGACGGTTGTTTACGCGCAGTACAACACCACGACCGATCTTCCTTTGCTGCTGGATGCTACAGGAGATGAGTTGGTTGCTGGCCTTGAGGCTGGAGCCTTCACAAGCTTGGATCTAGTTCAAGTAAGTTGCCCACGATCTGTACAAGCATGGGTATTCCTTGAAATTCGTCGCTGACATAACGTAGGCTTATGTTGGACGCATCATCGAAGTCAACAAGACGCTTCACATGGTGTTGGAGATCAACCCGGATGCTTGGACTATCGCGAAGGAACTAGATGAAGAGCGCGCCTGTGGAAAGCTTCGAGGGTTCGTCGTCTTCTGTGGAGTACTTGAGCTGCCGCTAATCGAAATAGCCCTCTCCATGGCCTCCCAATTCTTATCAAGGATAACATCGCAACTGATGATGAGATGAACAACACTGCCGGGTCTTGGTCGCTGATGGGCGCTAAAGTTCCACGCGATTCTACGATCGCTGCCAAACTCAGGGAAGCTGGTGCCATAATTCTTGGCAAGACCAACCTCTCCCAGTGGGCCAACTATCGTTCCTCGAACTCTTCAAATGGATGGTCTGCTCGAGGTGGTCAGACGTACGGCGCGTACTATCCTGGCCAGGATCCCAGTGGCAGTAGCAGTGGTAGTGGTGTCGCAGCTAGTCTTGGACTCGCCTTTGGTACTCTTGGTTCGGAAACAGACGGCTCCATCATCTCTCCCAGTCAACTCAACAACGTTGTTGGTATCAAGCCGACTGTCGGTCTCACAAGTCGAGCTCTGGTCATCCCCATTTCTGAACATCAAGATACCGTTGGACCAATGACCCGCACGGTCAAAGATGCGGCGTATATCCTTCAAGCCATCTCTGGACCTGACAGTGCCGATAACTATACGCTAGCTATTCCGTGGGCAAGCAACACCACAAATGTGACCAAGCCTGACTACGTTGCTGCCTGCACCCTGGATGCTTTGGAAGGAAAGCGCATCGGAGTGCCGCGCAACGCTATTGGCACGCCCGACAGCTCTTCAGCACCCCTGTATGCTGCTTTCGAAGCCGCTCTCGACGTTCTTCGCTCTGCTGGCGCAATCATTGTCGATAACACCAACTACACAGCCTGGGAACAGTATCTGGAATCCAACGCTGAAGGTATCGTTCTCGACGGTGACTTCGTCCCCAACCTAGCGCACTACCTCTCGCAACTTACATACAACCCCAACGACGTCCAAGATCTGGAGGACGTTCGCAATTTCACACAGCACTTTCCTGCCGAGGACTACCCAGACAGAGACACAGCGGATTTTGACAGCTCAATTGCCCAATCGCAGAATTTCTCCAACACCGATATCGAGTTCTGGAATGCTTTGCAACAAGATTATTACCTCGGTGGTGAAGGTGGTCTCCTCGGCGCGCTCACAACATACAACCTCGATGCTGTCGTCGTTCCCTCGGACTATGCCTCTGGTATCTCCGCCATCATTGGTGGACCCGTGGTCACCATCCCGCTTGGTGCGCTTCCGTCCAACACGACGGTTGTCACAAACCAACGAGGTGACTTGAACGCTACGGCACCGAACATTCCATTTGGTATCTCTTTTGCCGGTGCGCTGTGGAGTGAGGAGAGTTTGATTGGGTTCGCATATGCGTTTGAGCAAAGGACCATGGTGCGGACGAAGGTTAAGCCGTATATCCAGCCGAGTATCGAGATTGAGAACGTGATTGGTAGCTACTAGAGGGACGTTGAATAATGGAGAGCTGTTTGTGTAAGACTGTAGTCTGAATAAAGAGTAGGCCGGTGGATGGTCACTGCCGAATCTCCGAACTTTCTAGTTATACTGCATTGTATCGTTGTCGCAATCACGGCGTTAAGCGGACTTAGTCAGACATGCTGTTGTGAAACATCAATCAGGCGAACCGTGGCTTGTCTCTAGCGTTCTGTATACGACGTGAGGTTAGCGTCTTTTCCAGATCTGACATGGGGGGGTGAAGAAGGTCAGTTATTCAAGGTAGGCGTATAGAAGTATAAATATGAGGACTGCTCAGCGTATCAAGGTATCATGCAAGAGTAGGACTCAACAGAAAGTATCAAGCGAATTGCGCATCGAAACTTTCGCATTTCTTACAAAACCAACTTCTAGTGAGACCATTATACTCCAGCAGCCATGTCAGCCAATATGCAGCAACCAGACTTCATTCGCAAAGTTGCCCTCATCGGCGTTCGCTAACCCTCTCCTTTCTGTTATTCTGTGTACTAACAAGATCGATAGGGCTCCGGACAAGTCGGCTCCCATATCCTCACCCACCTGCTTGGCACCTCAAAGCATCAAGTCACAGTCCTGACCCGCCTCTCGAGCGACGCCGCCTTCCCCACCAACGACAACCTTACCGTCACCAAAGTCGACTACGACGATGACAATGCCTTGACAGAAGCGCTCAGCAGCCATGAATTCCTCATCATTACCATCAGCGCCCGCTCTCCCGACACTCTGCACCCGCGCATTGTCGCCGCTGCAGCCAAAGCCGGGGTACGCTGGATCATGCCGAACTACTTCGGCTACGGTATCGGCGATCGGAAGCTTAAGGGACGAAACGAGCTGAACAATTTCGAGCGGTTCATTGAGGATGTCGAGAAGACGCCAGGTGCTGACTACGTAGCGCTTGTGTGTGGCTTCTGGTATGAGTTCAGTCTGGCGATGGGGGAGCCCTGGTTGGGATTCCGGATCAGGGAGAGGAGCGTGACGATGTATGATCAGGGGGAGAAGAAGATTAGTATGAGTACGTGGGACGCGTGCGGGAGGGCTGTTGCGGGTCTGTTGTCGCTTCCTGTCAAAGCAGATGCGACGAAAGATGGTGTTGGACTGGAGACTTGGAGGAATCAAGGGTTGACCATTTCTTCGTTCCTGGTTTCTCAAAGGGATATCTTGGAGAGTTTGCATCGCGTGCTGGGTACCACGGATGAAGACTGGAAGATCAGGTTTGAACCTGTCGAGAAGAGGCTGGAAGATGGTAAGAAGCAGTTCAAGGAGGGGAAGATGTTGGGGTTTGCTAAGGCGCTTTATGCAGAGGTATTCGCGTGTGAGTGGGGTAATTACGAGACAGGACGTGAATTGGATAACGAGAAGGTGGCATTGGAGAAGGAAGATTTGGATGAAGCTACCAAGAGGGCGGTGGAGATGGCTATGGGTCCTATGGGGGACATCGAGGGCCGGTTTGGCTGATTCGAACCTGATAAGTGTATAAGAGGCAACGCAGTTTCTGTGGTATTGAAGTAATGCCAAAGTTCAGCATGTAACGAGGCGATGATGTACTATCGGCCATCATGGTTCATGCACTAAAGCCAGACCTTTTTGTCTCACTCACAACTCTCTGCGTTCTCATTCCACCATTTTAGCTGCGACATCGCAGTAAGAAGTTCCAAATCGATACAACTACCTCAACCGTCCATCCTTTTCGTACCCTGACACACTCGTAATAGACGCTGAGACGCTGAGACGCCACTCGCGGTGTGGCGTGCTTGTGGACGCGCAGCACTTTACGACCTGGTTGATGCGCTATTTGTAGCGACCTCAGCTTGGAGATTTGGAGTCGCAATCTACTGGCAAGTCTAGATCTGCCTCCCTTACTACTCTTGAAGATGTAGGAGCTGATGCGTGCTCCTTGGCCATCTCGCTATTACTCTGGTCCATCTCATTACCAGCAGATATGCATTTCGTCAGCCTCTACGAGACGTAAGTTACGTGTTCTCTTCCCGAGATGTAGACACAATGGTCCGATAATGCTCACACATCAGTAACTCGATGTTCGTGATTGATGTCACCTCTGAACAGCAGGACGCCTTGATGTCAGCCTTGGCTTACATTCGAATTCAATATGAACACAATGTAGAAGAACCTCGTGTCATATGGCTGTGCCGAGCACCCGAACATGCAAGAGAAGTGTACGATGATAGGCGAGCTGCTTTGTGGTAGGTGGCACGGGCCATACGTGGTCAGTTCAGGGTCGCAGGTCGCCAGACCCAACTTCAACCTTCACCCGGCAATTAGAATCGATTTTCGCGTCGACACGAAGCTCGAGTGTGAGGTCACGATAAGTTGACTTTGAAGAGAAGGTTGTGTTGATGGCGCGCAAGAATCATGACGCCATCGGCAAATATCAAAGCTCCTGGGTGGCGCGGGAGCTCTCCGCCACCCCTCAGCATCATCTCGGGGTCGTCGCAGAGTAATCTTTGTTCCAAATCAACATTCGCCATCTTCACATAAAACAACTCCACATGCGCTTCCCTTCCTTCCCAACATTCATCCGCGCCTTCCACACGGTCACAAACACAACGAGCGCATTTATCCGATCGAACCCTACCAGTAATCTCGGTCGCACTATCTACAACTCACCGCAGCGCGCAGTCATCTACCGTTCGATGCCAAATATCCCCTTCTTGGGTGCTCTTTTCGGATCTTCTAGCAGTATGGCGGACAACACAAACTACCCAGTCCAGAAGCCCGAGGGCGAGTGGCAAGCACAGCTATCACCTGGTACGTCCACGTCAACGTTCGCATCAGCACACACTTACTGACTTGACCATAGAGCAATTCCGCATCCTCCGAAAGAAGGGCACTGAGATGCCCGGCTCCAGCACATACGACAAGCACTATCCCGACGCGGGCGTTTACACGTGCACCGGATGCGACGCACCTCTGTACAAAGCAAACCACAAGTTCGACTCTGGCTGCGGATGGCCCGCCTTCTGGGATGCCGTGCCAGGCGCCGTCGGACAGAAGCCTGACCCTGGTCTTGGCATGATGAGGACGGAGATTGTATGCAACAACTGTGGAGGTCACTTGGGACATATTTTCAAGGGCGAGAGATTTGGCAATCCAAAGGACGAGAGGCATTGTGTAAACGGCATTTCTATCAACTTCTCCCCTGAGGATAAGAAATAAGAAAGAATAGTCCATAGAGGAAGAGCTAGTCATGTAGATATGGGGATGCGGTACTAAGTGTATTAGTGACGACGAAATGAGAGACGACACAAGATATGATTGCTTGCATTTGCAGGATATTGTGCACTGCCATTATCACTAATTCAGGACAGATTCTGGAGACTTTCGTCTACCGCCTCAGATTAATAGATCACGCACAAGCATCGACAACACTTTGCTGACATCACACGGTTTGTCAGGCGACACGAGTAGCAAGCATCGACTTCACATATGTATGGAAGTCAGCTTGCCAAGTATTATCAACAGCAATAAAGCATGGCACCCGCGATCAACGATCCTATCTCGCCTACCGCGAGCGATTCGTGTGCAGTATGTCCCATGGATTCTGCCATCACTTGTGAAGGGTGCGAAAACATCAAGTACTGCTCGGTGGAATGTCAGCTACGTGACTCGCCGCAGCACCATACTCTCTGCAGCACCTTCAAGGACTTTCAACAGCGGCCGAGCGAAAAGCATTATCGAGCCATCTTGTTCCCCTTTGCCGAACTCAAGCCACGATTCATCTGGCAACTTATCGATGGAGATCGAGGATATCACACGCCCAACAAGGAAGATCTATCTCAGTACCTTCAGCGTGGCACTGAAGGCTACTTTGTCAGCTGGAATGGCGATGTATTGCCTCTTCGTGAGCTCAAGCACTCCATGTACATCGATGTTGAGCAAAGCAGCGTCTCCAATGAAGGACCCCCTAACATGTGCTTTTTCACAATGATCAATCCCCACGTGGGGAATCTTCGCCGTGGTACCCATCTTGGCCGTGGTTGGAAGTATACAAATTTGAACGAGAAGGACGCTTGGGATGAGGCCGATCGCGAGTTGCGCGACGGCTTCCTCCTGATCGCATTAGACCTAGATACAACTTCCCTGGGACCGTTGTTGGCACGCATTCTTGTTGGGACGCCTCAAGATACAGATGGTGTGACATAGGATTATATTGAAAAGGTAAAGATTTCCGTTCAGCCTGGTGCATGACCTGAAGGTGACTATTGTAACAGGCTTCTGTTCTGACCATGCACCATGTGCCTATGATACTATTGTAAGGTCACCTTTGAGACTTAGCCTTGAGGAGAAGGAAGTATGTAACTGATCTAATTCTGAGTGAACGCGAATAGCTTTGAAAGCATGAATTCTTTGATATCCAGTATGTACACGATGGGTCCTCTTTAACGCCGAAGGAGTGAGCTCTGCCTATGTACATGAAGACGAGGAGAGCGAGGCACTTGTGTGGGTGCCAATGTCAAGGCAGTACCATACATAGTTCCCATTGCTGTTTTGCTATAGATCACTGCTGCTTACAGTACGCGACTGGTCCATCGAAAGTATGTCTTCCATACGTGAAGTAGTATATCATGGCGAAGATAACAAGGCATCCAAAGATAGGGCTTGCCCAGTTCATGTCGATCGGTGCCGGGTTCGGTACAGACGGGAAAAGGATCAAAACAGCAGTGAGCGAAAGGTAGCAAAGGGATGTGAGGTTGACCGCAAGACCCCATTTGCCCAGGCTGAATCGAGAAGGGAGAAGTGCTTCTCCTCGCACGCGCTTTCTCACCATGCAGCCGATAACGATGATGTTGGAGATGGAAAGACTAACACCTCCTAACGAAAGGATGATGTTGAAAGCGATGGATGAACCAATGATGATGAGGCACAGTAGAGATGAAGACATCAGCGTAAACAACACCGCATTCAAGGGGATGTCCCATCCTTGGGGGACCTATACGAAAGTTAGTGATTGAACGAACATCTAGAAGATAGGTACCTACGTAAGAGAGCCAACCTGAGAACGGTAGTCCTTTGTCGCGGGCGAAAGACCACAACTGGCGTGAAGCGGCCGTGACCTGGTTGACCGAAGCGAACAGAAGTAGCAGACAGACAACTACTGTCAGGATGTTTGTGGCTACTATCGATTCAGTTGCATTCATCAAGATCTGGATCCAGGGCTGGCCGAATGGTGTTGACATGATGGCCATGACATCATTTCCCAGTGTCGAGAAGACAGTGACAGTCATCACAAAGGCAAACGTATAGTTGACCGCTGAGGTGGCAATCATGGCTCTCGGGATGTTGTAGGACGCTTCTTCGACTTCCTCAGCCAGGTGAATAGCAAGATCGGCACTTCCCAGTGAGAGGATAGGACCTAGTACACCGACGAGTGTAGCGAGTCCGGTGTTTCCCCAGCCACTAGGATCTTCGAATTTGGTCCATGTATCGTGTACATTCGAGCGTGGGCCCATCACCCAAAGTACGACGAGGAAGGCGAAGAAACCGAAGACATGTAGGACGAGCGCGAGGCCTTCCATCAACGGAAGCTTCTTGACCAGTATGGTGTTGCCCAATATGGAGCATAGCACGATAGCGATTGACAATAAGGTACCATGCCAGCCTTGAATTGCGTAGTCTGGCATGTTCAAAGCGATCAAGCCTTGGAGCTGTTGGGCGACCGCGAAAGCAGTACCAGCCATGCCTGTTTGCCAGGCAATGACACACAACCATCCTGGAATATAATGTCAGAACTACAGCATATAGCAATTAAACCTTGAGTAGACATACCGATGACATAGCTGAGAAACTTTTGATGCTGTCTTGGTGCAAATTCAGAGACCCAATGATATTGTCCACCAGCTGTTGGAGCCCTGGAGGGTTTGTGAGCAAGTACTGATCCTGAACCACGTGTCTACTACTCACATAGACACCATTTCTGCGAATGTGAGCGTGACTGAAAACATGCCGAAGCACACTACGACAAGCATCCAGATGCCGCCAGCAGGTCCTCCATTGAATAGGGAAATTCCAATGCCACTGCAGTGAAACGATTGTTAGTAGACCTCCATGATTGACGTATTGGTAGCCTACAGCAATGAGTACTCCCAGGTGTTGCCAAGGATTACAGCGAAGCCGAAGATGGACAAAAACTTGAATTGCCGCTGATGATATTGTAAGTATGTTGCAGCAACAATTGGAACATACTGAAACTAACCCTCAGCACCTGCAGCTTGCCCATGCGATCCATATCCATCTCGTCACCATGTGTGCCATGTTTCTCGCTCACAGCATATGCGTTCGCCAGCTCGATGCTGGTACGAAAGTCTGTGGTCGGGGAAGGACCCTTGGCAATGCTGTCGTCCATGTTTGTGCGAAAAGCAATGCACAGAAAGCACAAAGGAAGGGTACAATGGCGAAAAGAGCAAACCTAAGGGTGCTGGGGTACGTTCAAATTCTATGGCACGGAGGTCTGTCATCCAATCCAAGGGATGGCGGAGACGTGATCAAGTACATCTGAATGCATTGAGGCTTTGCCGTTCGGAAGCATTTGGCAAAGGGTAATTGGTGGGAACTGTTGAGAAGGATCAAAGGCAGGAAGGTGAACAGCAAGGTTCATACTCATCCTTCCAATCTACTCGCAGCCTCACGCAGAAGTGGAAACGGTTGCATGTGGCTACGGCCCGGGCGCACTTCGCGTATGCACAATCTAATAAGAAGCATAAGAAACTGCAAAATTTCCGACGATCTCAGACCATATGTGCCGGTTATCAGCCAGGCATGGGATAGCTGCAGGACTGTGCCTCTGTCGCGCATCGGGAACAAGACTCGACATGAACGTTACCTATGGTGGCGAGTGCGGTCGTGCATCGCAAGTAAAAGTTAGGATTCGGGGCTGAAACTTGCGGCACGACAGCTTGCGTCATGAATGGTGGACAGGATTTAGTCGTTGTGATGGTGGGAGGAACGGCGGACTGCGCCGCTGCGGGCACGGGAGCGGAAAGAGAGGATTCAGGGTTTTAGCGTCAGGGGGGAAGTGAAGCCGGGCCCGCAACGGTCAAGACACGGCACAGCTGCCAAGTCGCGTGGGGGGCAGGGCATACGCGGCCAGACCACAACATAACTTCACCCGCGACAAGTGCCGCATTTGCCAAGCGAACGCATGTTGGTCGACTGCTCTCGTAGGTTGCATTCTACTCTGGCCAATGTGAAACTCCATTGACGACTTGCCCAGGTACTTTTTAAGCAGAGTTGAGTGCGCAGCACAGCTCGCTTCTGGTATCCCAAAGTACCCATGGTCCAACGAGCTCAAACCAATACTGTCCGTCGATTTCGGTAGTGATGTCCGCGCGGGACGAATCCTCCGTGCCTTCTTGCTGCAATTCAGCCACATAGAAGTATTCCAACGTTTGTGATTTTATGCAAGAGGCCTCGGTTTAGGAAGCCCATCATTCTGGGACAGCCATGTTCGTCAAGGATGAGCAGTATCGCCGCATACACTTTGCCCCAGGTCTACTCCTGCACCTCGAAATCTTGGGCGTGTTGGAGTGATATGAGCGGTACAGTATAATTTTCCTCTGAGCGTCTGTGCTCCATCAATTCCAAACCAGGTGGCCGTGTATCGGATACAAAACACATGTTACGGTCGCTGAGAGCTCTGCTCGACAGGTCGATCTTACGCAACAAATGGCGTTTCCGTCAGATTCCTCACATCTTGCTAGGGAGTCAGAAAATCGCTTCGCGCGAATCACGACAAACGATCACAGCGCGGCACTCTGGATAGCCACAATACTATCACTCATCTACGCTGTTCTGGTTCTGGCAGTTCGTCTGGGATTTACTAAATGGCGAGCGCATACCCTTGACGACATCGTCGTTACGATTGCACATGTATGTAATACGAAGCTCATGAACTGCTCCTGTGTGGACCTGACTCGATCTAATGGACATGCAGCTTGTTGCATTTACCATGTGGGGATCGCTGTTCACAGCGCTCGATAATGGCTTAGGAAAATCATACGCTCTGCTTCATGATGCAGAGGTATCGAAAATGCAGCAGGTGAGCAGACACAACTGCCATGTCGAATGCGCTAAAACTTCCGGGTGCTATTAGTACTTCTTTACGAGCCAGATCTTGTTATACATCGCACTTGCTCTGTCGAAATGCTCCATACTTATACTGATTCGGGCCGTGTTTACGCAAAACTCAAAAGTGTCATTCTTGGCTCTCGCTAATATGGTTGTGGTAGCGATATGGGGCTTTATCGGCGTTGTGGCATCCGCAGTCGCTTGTTCAGTGGAAAGAATCGTACCAAGACCTGGCGGGGGGTACTGTACTAGCTTAGTGAGTCCAGGAGCTGTTTTCCACCACGAAGCTTCCTATAGCTCTGCTCTCCATCAATCGTTGTACTTGATGTTGATGCTGGGTGGGCGATACTGGAACGTATACAGAGAGTTCTGAGCTGACCGCAGACCTATTGCTTAGGTTCCATGGCTAAAAGTGCTTGGTGCAGGCGACGTTTTTACGGAGACAGTGATCATTATCATACCGATGGTGGGCTTCTACGGTTCTCTCATGTCTAACAAACGTAAAGCCATCGTTATGTTGGCCTTCTCTACCAGGATACCGTATGTACCATCACTATACCCTTGAAGCTTCGAAGAATCTATGCTGACATTGAAGTCTCACAGAAACATCGTATTTGCCATCATGCACCTGATCACGCACTCCAAGTTCATCAACAATCATCAGCCAGCCATGAGCATCGTCCCGACCGCCGCGTGGCAAAGCGTCCTTCTCTCCTACAACCTCATGTCCGCAACGTCTCCGCTGCTCAAAGGGTTCACTGAGATATTCATGACCGCGGGTACCTCTTTAGGATATGTTCAAGAGGGAGCAACAACAGGCGGGGGGAGTGGGACATTGGGCAGTTATGAGCTACGATCGCTCACGAAGACCAAATCTAGAGTTAGGAGTTCCCCGTCTGATGCCACAAACTCGCAACCACGCGCCACCCAGGTCCAATGGAACACAAGATCTAAGCCCACTGCGTCGAAAGCTACATCGAATGACGACTTGCGACACTACAATGAGAGCGCATCTATTGCTAGTCATGACTCCCGTCGAATTATGATCAAGCGGGAATGGAAGGTCTCGAGAGATTAGGGTTGCGTAGGCTCTCTCCTTGAGCTCGCTATGGGAGGCTTGTATCTTGGGACATGTTTTGGCGCATGTACTACCAATGTCATGGTTCTTCAATCGTGTAGGATTGACGATAAGAGTTCCGGTTGGTGGCTTATACAGTCCGTGCGCACCCAACGAGCCAGTTCAGTCAACGAGCCACCCGAAGCCCGCAACCTCATGAACCATCCCAACTGCGACGCGTCATAACTCCACAACCATGGACCCGATTCAAGAAGCGACTGAATATATCGAATCGCGTGAGTCTGGAGATAAATTCTCATACCGCCAAGTTGCAAAAATATTCGGAGTTGATCGAACGACGTTGTCGCGGAGGCACCGGGGCGCACAACAACCCTGGGGCACAGAGGCGGCCGAACATCGACGAAATCTCAACCCACAACAAGAGGATGAGCTTATTGGCTTCGTAGAAGGGCAAACAAGAGACGGTGTACCACCTACAAGGAGTATTTTGAAGAATTTCGGCAGCGCGGTTGCGCAGCATGAGGTTTCGGATAGCTGGGTTACCCGGTTTCGACACCGTCATCCCGATGAGCTCATCTCCAAATGGGACACCGGTATGGATCGTGAGCGTCACTTGGCTGACAACAAGCGTAAATACGAGTTGTACTTCAACTTGCTGCACTCCAAGATGCAAGAACATGAGATTGAAGAGCGCAACACGTACAATATGGATGAGAAGGGCTTCTTTGTCGGCATCGTCCACCGCAGGAAGAGGATCTTCTCCAAGGCAGTTTATGAGTCGGGGGAGCGTACCGCGGCGATGAGAGATGGCAACAGAGAATGGGTAACGCTGCTGGCTTGCGTATGCGCTTCTGGAGAGGCATTGCCGCCCGCTCTTATCTATCAGGGCATCTCCGGGGTTCAATCAAGCTGGGTTGACGACCTATTGGCTGAACAACACTAAATCTTCGTATCCCACTCGGCTTCAGGATGGTCAAATAATGATTTGGGACTTGCCTGGCTTCAACAGGTCTTCGAACGCTTCACGGCAGCCAAAGCTCGCTGGTAATGGCGCCTTCTGATCCTTGACGGCCACGCCAGTCACCTTACGCCTGATTTTTTGGAGTATTGTGAAGCCAAACGCATTATGGTTATGGTGTATCCACCACATTCTACACACAGTTTGCAGCCGTTGGATGTTGTGCTCTTTTCGCCGCTTTCGAAGCACTACACCAAGGAGCTTACTAAACGCCTCTAGCGGACCTAAGGCATCTCGAGGATCACCAAGCGCGACTTCTACAGCAACTTTTGGCCGGCTTGGAGCTCTACAATGACTCACGATCTTATATTGAAGAGTTTTCAAGCTACAGGCGTATGGCCGATGGACGCTGACCTGGTACTTCAACGCTTCAACAACCAACCATAACAACAAGATAACGAGCTAAGAATTGGGGAGCAAGGCGACGGCGATACCTGGCCTTAACTGCGCAAAATTTTTGACGCTGCAGTGGCTGATAAGGCCAAATTTGAAGCCAAACGGCTGTCCCAAGGCCTACACTCGCTGCAGGTCAACAACGAGCTTCTCCGCCTCCAAAACGCGGAGCTACGCGCTGAACTCAACCTCATGAGATCCCGACCGTCTAAATCAACAACACTAACTACTTAAGAGGGCGACGATTGGCACGGCGGAGCTGTATTCTACAGTCCCAGGAAGCTTGCCAGCCTCCGCGCGCGCAAGGCCGCAGAACTAGACGAAGCCGCAGAGCTACAACTCCAAAAATCTCGTGATAGAGAGAGAAAAGCAGCAGAAGCAGCTGAGAAAAAGCGCTCTTAAGAAGCTGCAAAGGTGGCTCGACAATAAGCCAAAATTGCTAAGGATGCGGAGCAGTTACGGCAGCGTGAGGAGAAAGCTGCCGCGCGAGAACTTAAAAAGCAGCAACAACAAGCTGCAACCGCTTAAAAAAGTCACGATACAGCAAATAAGCGTAAGCGAGAAGCCTCACACAAGCCAGTAAAAAAACCAACAAAGCGTCGTCGTGTTGTTGCTCCATCAAGTAGGGTGGTTGCCAGTCCGCCTCGGGCGCCCTCCCCACCCAGATTTGGCTTGCGAGAGCGCCAACTTAAGACGCCAGCGAGATACAAGTAGTGCAAACGCTTTAGTAGCGTCAATATATCAATACACCGAAAAATCCCACGATAATAGCTATTGTGGGTGGCTCAATAACCTCATCTTTTTTGTCGTCTGATCTTGTTGGGGTGGCTCGTTGACTGAACTGGCTCGTTGGGTGCGCACGGACTGTATAAGCTGAGCGTGCCCCGCCAAGTGGCGACGCAACATCAAAGTCCGATGTTTTTTTAGGCGACCGACCGATTGACTCTTCATCATCTGTTCACCAATGAGACAGCTACACTAGTGTTTTGGGCTGCATGTTTTTGTTTCCGGTGGCAGATAACGGCTTTGACATAGCGATAATGATGGCTCATTCATCTCTCGAACTGTTGCAGGTCTTTCTTTTTCCGCAACGCGGCCCTCTCTTTGCACTTCCTCTAAGCTAATGAAATCCGGCTACGAACCTGGGCTTGCCACATCTCAATCATCGAGTGTGAGCGCCAACACATCGAAATTTGATGGGCACGATGGGAAGGCTAGAAGACTTTCTCGTGACTTGCAACTCGAAACACAGGCAGGTGCAACCACCCCTCATGTCAACGGCATTGAACAAGCCAAGGCTGCAGACCAGCCAGTGACATGGAGCGCGCTACCCCGAAAAGATCAACTTCTAGTGTTGATGCTTGCCCGTCTCTCCGAACCATTGACGCAAACCTCATTGGGCGCATATCTCTACTACCAACTCCAATCCTTCGATCCATCGCTACCAGAGTCTACGATCTCATATCAAGCGGGAGTCATTGGTGCAGCCTTCCCGGCGACGCAGTTTATGACCGCCATGCTGTGGGGTCGATTCTCAGACTCTGAATACGGCGGCCGGAAAAGAACCATTTATCTTGGACTGCTTGGGACAATGCTAAGCATTATTGGCTTTGGCTTCTCTCGTAACTTCACCATGGCAGTGACTTTCAGATGCCTCGGAGGCATATTGAATGGCAATGTTGGAGTCATGAGAACCATGATCAGTGAGATCATCAAGGAAAGAAAGTACCAGAGTAGAGCTTTTCTGATCTTGCCCATGATCTTCAACGTCGGTGTTTTGGTTGGACCCATTCTAGGTGAGTCGCGCGTAGCGAAGATCATATGCATTCGTATTAACAAGAAGTAGGTGGCGTGCTTGCAGATCCCTTTGCTAGTTACCCAGCTCTTTTCGGACCCGATTCAACATTTGGTGGCAAGGATGGGGTACAGTGGATGAAGCGATATCCTTATGCACTCCCCAACCTTACAAGTGCGGTCTTTCTGTGCTTGTCATCCTTGGCTGTTCTCTTCTTCCTTGAAGAGACGGGCGAGTTATGCAAACATAAACCGGACCCATGTCTGCGCGTTGGCCGATGGATACGGCGATTTGTTTTTCGTCAGAAGGTCACAACTGAGGCTGGGTACAGCGCCGTCCCAGAAGATGACTTTGAACTTCAGCCCACACCAACGTCGGCACATGCAGAGGGTTTCGACAATTTTGACAAGCCGAGCAACATAGTTCGGCAACAGTTACCGTTCCGTCGCATATGGACACGAAACCTCGTCATGACGTTGTTCGCTCACGGCGTTCTTGCCATGCATGTAGGCACCTTCAATGGCCTTTGGACCATTCATCTTTCTACACCTCGCTTCGATCCCGCTAATCCATATCCTCCAGGCCTAGTGCCTCATGGTCTGTACTTTACTGGAGGTCTGGCCATGCCTCCGGCGCGCATCGGCATCGCACTTGCTATCATTGGCGTCATCGGTATATCGTTGCAGCTTTTGGTGTACCCAAAAGTGGCGCATCGTCTAGGAACAACAAAGTGTTATCGCGTTTTCCTTGCTTTCTTTCCATTGATGTATACGATTGCTCCCTTCCTCAGCTTGGTACCCAGCTGGACATCACCACCCGATGGCGTAAGTGGACCTTGGATTTGGATAGCCATTACATGCGCCTTGTTCATACAAGTACTCGCTCGCACGTTCGCGTTGCCCTGCACAGCCATTCTCATCAACAACGTCAGCCCCCATCCGTCCGTCCTAGGAACCGTTCATGGCATAGGCCAGTCGGTATCCAGCCTTACGCGGACAATTGGACCAATACTCTTCTCTTGGGTATTCGGTAAAGGACTCGACATGGGCATGATAGGCCTAGCCTGGTGGTGTATGGCTGCTGTTGCTGTCGCCGGGTGGGTACTCGCGCAAGGTGTTCGAGAAGGAGATGGGCATGAGATACTGCTTGAAGGAGAGAAGAAAGAACCCAACTGATAACGGTGTTCAGTATGCATGTGAAAGGTACTACACACGGACTGAGAAGCAATGTATCCCACGACGTATCAGGAGCATGAAGTACAAATGCGTCGAAAGACTGAAAATTTGTCTAGAAGCTACCAGTTTACCAACAATATCCGCAACGTATGACTTGCGCTATAATCAATCCTATACAAGACGTACGAATGTCGAAGTCACAGCCCTTGCTCCTTTCAATACTCTTTTCCCATAGCTTCCTATCAAGCAAAGACCGCTTGTCCGACGTTTCCAGAGGAGATATTGCGCTATGATATCTTCTTAGCACCATGGAGTGGTCTTGCATGAGCGCTGACAGCCACGTCGTATCCCTCTTGCGTCCATATCAAAGGTGATTCAAAATCCACTAACATCGTCTTCATCTCTAGATGCACTACTCAACCTTCTTTGGGGGTCGAGTATCATCTCGTATTTACCCGGTCCACAGGTTTGCTTCCCTTTCCTCAAGCAACCTCAGGATCAATGTTTTCCGCACCGCCAAGAACCACAAACACTTTCTCAAGCTGAATCCGTGTGTTTGAGACTATGCTGTTCGCGTCCGGGCCCGCATATGTCTCCAATTTCGCCATTCGATATCGTCTTTGAACCATCCAGCCTCATGGCTATCTGTGATCCACTTCAGCGAGCGTAAGAGGAAGATGACCTGTGATCCCTGAATGTCTTCCTGTTTTGAGAGGCTGGCCTTTAGTGTCTTCATTTCCCCACTGAGCAGCTGCTTGCAGTGGGGGTTAGAGAAGGCCGAGATTTGTGCTACTGGAGACTGGATGTTCGAGGATGCAAACGCACCCATTCCTAGCTCTACTTCTTACTTGGATGCTTCTCCTGGCTTTGCTAAAGTAACTAAAGCTTGGCCCCTCGGTCTGCTCTTCTGTCTTGATGTCTCCGTGGGCGCATTGGCATCAGCCATCGGAGGCGGTGATACAGCCGGCTTACCATTCTCTATCGGAGGAAGGGGAACAGCTGCCTTGATGCTCTCTGTAGGAATGGATGAGACAGCTGGCTCGGTGTCCACCATCGAAGAAGGAGTTACTAAGGATTTCGTGTCCTCCACTGGGGGAATAGACATAACCGGCTTGATGATGTCCGCTGGTGCTAAAGGCTGCGCTTTTGCAGACGTTTTCTCAACTTCCTCGCGCTGTGAGGCAAGAGTTGATGATAGTACAACATCTGGTGCAGGGTTCGGTGGGGAAATAGACGGCGACTTGGGGCTGACTTCATCCTTCGACATCTCCGCTGGCTTTGGTAGTGTGACAGTGTCGGATGTCAAACGCCTTGATGGAAGATAACCTAGGTTTGTAAATTGTGGTGGTTGGAGTATAACCGTGTTCGCGTGCTTGGGCGGCTGAGAAAGTGCTGGCACTGGTACGGAGGTGGTAGTAGTGCTGGGTATAATGGCGACGTGGTCTGAAGATGTCTCTGGTGCGTCATTCATCTCTATATCTGACGTCCACGGTTTGCTAAAACCTTCAGTCATGCTACCCGAGGAGTCGCTGACAGCCCCCACGCAAGACTGGCTGCTCGCGGGATATGTCCGCGTGGCGGCACTGAAGGTTGATACGGCACCTCCGGATCCAGTCGAGCTACCAAAGCTGTTGGTGATGGCCGTCGGCGCGCCAAAAGCAAGGGAAAGGGAGCCGAAAACACCGCAGCTCATATAATAGGCGAAGCGCGAATCCATTGTGTCGTATTCGCAGTCCACCTCCTCATACTGTGCGCATGGTGTTGAAATGAACGAACTCCACGTTTCCGCATCCCTGATATGAGACATCTCGAGCATATATGCATGCAATAATGTTTTCCAGCTCGACTTGCGTTTCGTGAAACGTAAGCCCAGTGGCTTCTGTGTCAAGCGCGAGCGAGGAAGAGGAGCGATATCCATACGGCGAGGTGTCTTCATCTGCAAATACTTCGCTTTTACTGCCGAATGTGGCTCGCCGCGAGGGTAGATCGGTCGGCGGGTGATGTGCGCCTTGCTGATGGGCGTATGCTTGACGACGCGCTTTTTGGAGCTGCGCTTGCAGTCTGTCATGACTGGCGAGCAAGGCATGTCAATGTCGTCGATCGTGACTGATCTGTTCATGTTCCTGTTCGTCTGTAAGAAGATATGATGGGGTGGATCGATCAATATTTGTAACTGATGTGGTGCTGGGCGCATCTTAGAGTTGAGGAGCTGTCCTGCAAGAATGTCACGTTGGTTATTGTGGCGCTGGATGCAAAGACAAGTGTGCGACAGCGGATACGATCCCAAGCTTGGTTCAACTGCGTGATAAGCGGTGGAGGATCGCTCCGCGAGTGCGAGTGACTGCAAGTGAAAGGAGAGCGAAAGCTCAGGGCTGAACGGACCAACATCGCGGGTACACTTTCGGTCGCAACTTTGGCAGCAAATTTGTTGCAAAACTGTCCGCTTCGAATTTGGCTGCTCGATGCATATAGACTAACAGCTACTCGGAAGGCTATGTAGGCGTACACATATATCAAGGTCCGACGTATCTTGTGATGAGAATAAGCCAGGCAATTCCTCATATGCGGGCAATGGCCCATTGACGACGAATCACTCACTACATTCGCATCACCATCGCTACCACCCTTGAAAGTCTTATATAGATATAGGGGGTATATACAGATGGAAGGAAGAACCACCATCCCGGTCTCGTATCCATTCTTCAGACGATTCTCAACTCTTCCCGTGTCCACTCTATTCCTGCTTCGGGACACTCCATCTGTTTTGACTGTGAGCATTGGAATCGGCCTTCAACATTCAAAGGTTGGCCGGACGTATCGTCACATACCTCACAAAGCCCAACACGCCTGAATTCATGTTGTTCGGTTTCCTCCAACAGCAAGAACCAAGCTAAGGACCAAGAGTGTGCGGAGAAATGTCGAGACACGCCAAGATACAAGGCCTTCACTTCCCTAGCTGTATAATCTTGGTCATCGTCTAGATATACATCAGCACCAGGCAAACCAGAGAATTCATACTCTTGGTCATCGACTTCCCATAGGTGGCCACGAGATGTGTAGGCGACAACATCTATCCTGTTTGATTGGCGTCAACGAATATACAGGTTCGAGGGATTTAGTGACCCACCAGGGATGGAAGAGAGTGTAGTCGTCCGCCTGAGCCGTGTAGTCCAGCATGCTCATATGTTGTCCAGATTTATGCGTGACGGAAGCAATGAAATATGCATTTTGAGTCTCCCTGATCACATCAGGACGGCCGGAAAAGCGTATTCGACACCGGCCGTGCTTGTGATTCCAACTTTTTGTGGATGCCCAACTCCAAGACGGAAAATTGGGCTTTAATAAAACTCCAGCGTGTGTAGATGAAATATCCATATCCCTTGTTTCTACCTTCCATCCAAGATCGATGCCAAAGCGCAACGAAACCTTATCATCATCGCTAATCTCAGGCGACTGCCACAATACTGAAGTCTCGGGATTGTCAGTTACTTCAGATTCTTGCAGCCAGAGCGGGATTCCGTAAAAATGGGGATTTCGACGCGTCATATAAAGTCCAGGCATAGACTCGTGAGCTCGGCCACGACCATTTGACGTGCGGTCAGATAATTGACGGAATACTCCGTCGAACGCGTTAATATTATCTGTTTCGTACCGTAGTGTCCGAGGATAATATTCCTCCAAGCGGAAATAGAGATCATCAATAGTGAAACTTTCTTTCTGTGTGGGGAAAAATGGCCTGTTCCTCGTGATCAACTTCGTCAGATCTGCCGATTCAAAAGTCGTATCCAGCTGCTCCATAGTCTGATGTGCTCGACATTGAAAATAGACCTGATAATCAGTGAATATGATGCGGCGACGGGAGAACAGCATCTCCTGATAGGTCCAGCCCCGCGTGTTCCATACCGAAGTCTCCATATCTATGAATGGGTCATTCATTGCCACAAAAGCATGACTTCCAATATTGACAAAGGGCGTTGCTTTTCGAGGTCGACTCACTCCTGGTAGCCCATATTCTGAGCCGCTACCTGCAGCAGCAATGATCGTGACAAAAGCTTCCCGATAGATTGAATCCATATTACGAATGGCGTCGTGCTTCTCTTCCCGGTTCTCTTGGTCGATGCAGTACCTATCAACCCACAAGTAACGCATACCGAGTTTCAGAGTCACAAACATGGCGTCCGACACTGTCTGCGGGATGTTCGCCAGCATCTGGGAGTTTGAAGCTGCGTTCTCGGTAGATTCATCCCCCCAAACATAACTCAAACATACGTATTGACAGTTGGGAGCTGCGCGAAGTACTCTCGTTTTGCAATCAATGAGTCTTGTTGGTGTGAACTCTCGGCAGGTAGAGCTGCCACACATTGCGTGCTCAGATTGACACAACTTTATGTTTTTGTTGATCATACCGTAGTCGAAAGAGCTAGGATCGATTGCTCGACTGAACGGTAGATAACCGTGTTTGCTGGACTCGAGATTGCAGAAGCGCGCCTGAACTGGAAGCAAGTATCTCAATGGCGCATTTTCACCGCGGTAGGGCCTCAATGAGAACGTCGTTGCTTTGTGATCGGTAAGAAAAGGATGCGATACAGAGCGTGTGTTTAGTGAACAACCCTTGGGTATGTTTTCAGTTTCATGATCGGCAAACGATGCCCGCAACAGCCGTGTAAGCTGTTTGCACCAGGGACAACCTCTTTTTTGACGGCGTATGGACAGGACGCCGGGCAGTGTTCCTGGGCGCACGATTTCCTCCGAGAGATCTCTCCCATGGCAAGAGTCACAAACAGAAGCATTGTGAGGCATTTCGTGGTGGCGATTAACGTGCGTTCTTGAAACTTGATAATGAATAGACACGAACTGTATAGAGAAGATTTCAGAAGAGTATAGGTTTTCGAACGTTTCGGCGGGGGTAGTTTGACGATGAAATCACGGTAACGGGGCTGTGTCGGTAAGGAGATAAGCCACGTGTGTCAGCCTTGCAGAGTGCCGTAGCCAATCATCTACCCCTACACGCCGTTCAGCTCAACGTGGCTGAGTCGCTGATGTTTGCGGCAACTGCCTCATATATTTACATCTTGTTTTCTTCGCAGATATAGAATTCATTACATAATTTGTGCTTCACCCATTGCTACATATCGACGCATCGCCCCTAGATACCGTAACGAGCAACTACAGCATGGCAATGTAGGTCAGTAATCTAGAAGGAGAGTTGACATGGCACCTAGATCTCAGTGCATCAAAACAATTCGTGTGTATGGAGATATCCTAGCATCCAGCCATCCGCAGCCTTATCCAACGTGTCTACTTGCCACCTCCAAACTTCTTCCTCGGATCATACCGCTCGAGTTCACCTCTGGCAGTCCGGCTCGGTCTCGTCTTAGTGGCCTTCTTCTCTCCAACCGTCTTTTCTGGCTTCGATCGCTCCGCATCAAGTCTACCTAGACCTTCGTCACGAGCAGGAGGCCGCTCGCGCGTACGACTATCAGCCTCTTCGGCTCCACGCGCTGCAAATACAAGCTCTCTCCGCTTTGCCTCAGCCTGTCGTGCCGCTGCATATGGATCGATCGGCCCAGGCGGCTCTACGTCCTGCTTCGCTGTCTGTCGGCGTGCTTTCTTACTCTTGTCATGTGAGTCGTCACTTCGGTGGCGTCGGTCTCTGTCTTTCTCTTGCTGACGTTGTCGATCGGCTTCTTGCGCTCGTTTTCTCTCTTCGATCTCCAGTTTTCGTTGGTTCTTGGCTGCACGCGCGCGCTGGATTTCTGATTCCTCCTGTTTCTGGGTTTCCGCAGGGTCTTTCCCTTCGATGCGCTGCGCGCGCTGCACTCGGCGGTTACCTTCCTGCTTGCGCGCTGATAACATCCTAGTCACGCCCTCGTGTTGTCCGTTACTCTCCTTGCCGTCTTCTAGTCGACTCTGCTTACCCGAAGACCCACAATGTGTTCGTGAGTCATCTTCTCTTTCGTGTGCCGCGTTATGGTGTTGCCCCTCTTCCTCGTATGGGTCCTCAGATTGACGTTCAACGCTGCTTCTGGATTCACAACGAACGACGCGGTCGCCGCCAGGAGAGCGACTGCGATGCCTGAACTCACGTTGCGCTGATGGATTAGCATTACTCTGCTCGCCTCTGGCGCCTGCTTCATCCTCATCAGCCCTGTGTGGAGTCTCTTCTCCACCAATCTCCCTGTAGTCGATATAAGAACCTTTTGCGTCGCTTCTCTCAGCGAATCGGCCTTGATGTCGAGCCAAGCAGTCTCCAGGGGAACTCGTTGAGAGGCCTAAACAACTCGTAAGTTTGGGCGAAGTTTTTGTGCGCTTAGGTGAGCTTGTGGACATCTTCATCTCCCACTCGTCCTCTAACATTCTCTTCTTGCTCATATCAGAGTTTGCAACAAATGTCGTTGTAGAACTTGAATGATTTGACGCTGTTGCGTCATACACGATGTATTTATCTGCGAACCTCTCGCCGCCTATCACCATCATGGTCTCTTCCCTCTTTCCAACCTCGCCCAATCTATCCCGCTCCTCTCTTGCGGCTTTTTGGTCGCTCACCCTCGAACCACTAGGCTTTTCCCGTTCAACTTCTCCAGCATCGATTCTCACGGTATCTTGTATCGGGATGCGCTCGATATAGCCGTACCATTCGATTGGTGGCGGATCAGACTTGTCGCTCGGTACGTGAGGCTCGAGAGCACGAATGCGCTGAGGAGTGCTCATCTCGGTGACGGAATCATGGACTGGCGGTGGCAGTGGCGTAGGCAGCGGGGTGAAAGTCATGCCAGCGCTGGAGGCGTAGTCTTTGGCTTCCTTGCTGGTGTTGATTTCTTCACCGTAGATATTGGGCAGCGAGTAGCCATCAACATCCGTACCGATTGCGTTACCTTTAGTGTCGAACTGAACGTTGATCGTTAACTGCTCCGAATGTACGATGTACTCGTCTCTCGTTTCAGACCATACTCTGAACCCTGCAGCTCGAGCAGCATCACGCTGTTTGTTGACCAAAAGTGACGCCTTCACCTTTGCCCGCAACAAAGCCTTGTTACATTGTGCAACTTCACTGGTCTGGAAGGAAGAGTCTGCATAGTTTGGGGATCGTTCTGGGACAGTCGTGATGGCGAATGGCTTACTGGAAACGATATCGTGAGGGTTAGATGACGGCCCCGGCACATAGCGACCGATTGCGGCGCTGCCGATCTTGCTGACAAGCTCTTGGTTTGTGGGCTGACGGTCATAGATCTTCTGGAATTCTTCCGCATTGCTAGGTGGTAGTGTATGTACAGCGGCGCTGCGATACCAGACGAAATTGGAAGACGCAACCACAGCCTTCGATTGGGATGCCGGGTGGTTTTGCAATCGAGTAGAATCTTGCTCGAACGACTCTGGGGCTGTCCCGGAAGGTTCGTTTTTTGGCGGAGATGTTTCGTTCGAGACAAGTCCTTGAGCGGTACTATTAGTTGCAAGAGATACTTCCCCAAGGGTAGCGTCTTGGTGTGGCGGAGCGTCAGTCACGGGTGCGCATCCTGGCATGACTAAGAACGACGGCTTTTTGCACACGTGAGGTCTCTTGGTGATCTTAGACAAGTGAGGACGCAGTTTGTTTGGGTATCGTGGATGGAAGGCGTGACGAGTGACCGGGGTACAACAAGAACTAGCGCAGAGCTAGAACGAAAACTCGGTAAGCCCAACGCGACGTCGGCTCTACAGCTTGCCCAAAGTGAATGTGACTTTTGTGAATACCCATTGTTTTCACAAAGTGCGTTAATCCATATTCGGGTTGCAGAGCAAGATGTTGAAAGGTTCTTTGTCCTCACGCTGTGCTGCCCACGTTACAAGTCGTATCGGTGTAAATGCTGGATAATGCAACTGCGTGGGAAGATGATGATTATGAGAAACCACGTGATACGTCTCTGCGTAGCTCATTCACAGAGCATGTTGCATAAAGTAACGTAGAGAAGATATGGAAAGTAACGATATTGAAACTTTGATATGGATTTGCATGAGTTAAAAGAGAGATACGAAAGCTTTCACAAAGCATACTCACATGGGTTCATCCAAAGCGACGAGGACAGGTCCCTCTTGGACTTTCGCCTCTCACAGCTCTAAGCGAACTAAGTTCTGCATCACTCACATTCATCTTCCAGTACCAACCTCTCAGTCTGGAGATCTCCGCATTGGTAAGCGGTGTCCCAGCTTGCGTCACACCGATAGATTGCTGTTGCCCCTAGAAGCTTGGAGAGCGAACATCTTGGTTGCTGACGTACTGCTACTCCTCTTTCTTCTGCTTCTTCTTGCCCTTTCTACGGAGACGCCTTCTGGAAGGTCTTTCCGCGTTTGCGTTTTTAGGAGCAGGAGATGCAAACTGTGGCCGTGCGGTGGCTGCTCCTGCTGCGTAATCACCATCCATAATGAGGGGTATACAATGCAGGTGGTTGGGGTGAGGACATGATCGACCGTCCTGGCTTCCAAGTGCTGATGCCATTCCAGAGGGAACTAAGAGTGGTAGCGATTGGATGCGTGTCAATCCAAAGCAATGGCTACCTAGCGGTACAACGAGGTCTTCCGATGAGAGGACCAGTACAACAACATGATCGTAATTGTTTGCTCAACTAACCTGTAGATGCATGCATCTTGGCCGATGAGTGGGACAACGACTGGTCCTGAAGTCGTTCTTCCAGTTTCTCGGAGCGGGTAGTCTCGATGCAGCATGCCTTGCGAGAAGCCTGCATCTCGCTTGGTGAAAAGACGCGTAAGCTAAAGTATCGTAGTTGACATAGAATCGAAAATGCCAAGTCCAAAAGCCGTTGACAAGCCTCGATTGCGAACAGCCTAGCGAAAGACTTTAGTTATAGCGCTGAGCTTGGAGGAGTGGATGGGCTGCGGTCGTCCTTCGGTCGGCTGTGCCGCGGGCCGTGGTGAAACGCCGTACAGTGGTGCATTGCGCAAGCATCATCAACATGCCACAGCCTGCTCAGCAGCAGCCTGGTATGAAGGGAAGCACGATGTTCAATCCCCCAATGGCAGATGGGATGATGAAGGCGATGATATACGAGCGAGCGAGTGGGAAGAACGAGGGGTGGAGCAGCAGAAGAACGGTTCCCACGAGGCTGACTTTCCTAAGAATAGCCGATTAGCGGGGCAGATCGGCGTCATTGGGCAGCGGCTCCCGGCGCAGTTGCAGGGATGCCCGTACAGCCTCATGGAAGACGCGTATCCGGTCAAGCATAACCACCTCCACGCCGCCGCCATACATCTACTGACCTGCCAACACATCGCTCTTCCAGATACCTGACCATAACTCCAGTCACACGAACAGGTCAGAAGGTTGTAACATGACGCAATGTTAGACGAGAATCTCCCCAGTACGTGTAGCCAACTAATGCGGCCAATCGTCATGCTATGGCTTTACTAACCATCCCTAGCTTTCTTTCTCAAGGCCTCGACCGACAAGCTCAAGCACCACGAATCATTCTACTTCACCCAGAACGGCTCTGAGCCCGAAGCCCAGTACGCTCTCCACCACGTTGACCCAACCTCCAACGATGCGAAGAACACATACGCCGTAGCCTTGTTCGACTCACGCAACCCCGACGTTCTATATGGCGAAGTGCTTGCGAAGCCCGGATGGTCACATCCAACACTCTCGCAAGAGGAGATTCGCAAGAATGGCGGCGTACCGCCTCCACCGCAGCCTATCTACCCCACAGAATTCGCGATCCAGATGTACAACCCCGACTCGCGCGTTGTTGTTAAGCACTCGACGGCGAAATGGAGCAGCACCGTGAGCTGGGAGTTCAGCATACCTCAAGTCACCTTCAGGACGCCTAGCAATTCCGCCCTCGACCGCACCATGACGGATCCGGGCGCCGATGTGAACACACCCAGAGTCAACTTCGCGTGGCGGAAGGAGGGAAGGCTGGGCAAGGATATGACCTGCTACATGACAGGCAAATCGACCGACCCTACCGGCAAGAAGGTTAAGAAGAGCAAAGAGCCCGACATTGCTGTCGCTCTTTTCTCTGGCCTGAAGGAGTTGACCATCATGGAGTCGAATCTCTACCGTGTTGAGATTGAAGATTACAAGGGCTTGGAGGTGGCGTTGCTCATTGGAGCCGCTGTGATACGCGATCTGTTCTTCAGCGACCTCAACGAACAATTTCACATCAACGCCAACATCCGGAAGAACAGCGCGCCACTGCGAGCGAGGAAGGGGTCGTCGCCACTAGAAGGCCCGAACATCACAGCGCCGGTCATGACACCCCAGCCTCCACCCCCACCAGCATACACCCCTTCGTCGTCGCAGTACCCACCCGAGAAGGTCCCGCTCCAGCCTGCAGGAGGTGCTGGCGTGAACGCACAGCCACCTCCGCCCTCGTATACTAGCAACAACAATACCGCCAAGCGTTCCTCGTTACCTCCGTTAGCTACGAACCAAGGCCGCCCGAACCAGCCTCCTCCCCAACAACAGCGACCTTTCCAACCGCAACGACCTGTCCAACAACAGCGGCCCGCTCAGCCACAGCGTCCAACACAACAACGTCAAGAAGGTCCTAGGCTAGATCCCCGAGCACAATGGGAGATCGACGCCGAGACCGCGCGGTTGAAGGCGCAAGTCGAGGCCGAGGCACGCGAGCAGAAGCGTCAAGCTGAAGCTGCTCGTAAAGCTCGGCGCAGGCAGGAAGAGGAAGAAGAAAGGAAGACAATACAATTCCTTGAGCAGGAACGCAAGCAGAAGGAACGCGAAGAGAAGGAGCGACGGAGGAAGCAGGCTGAGATTGACAAGGAGACCGAACGCCTGAAGAAGCAGTTCGGAGACCAGTCCAACCTACTCCGCCCATCGCCACAGCCTCAGCGACACTCCGCACCACTTGTACAAGGTGGATGGCAGAACCAGCGGCCCAGCCCGGTGCCTCGTCCCGCCCCTGTCCCTACCCAGCCTCCACGCATGCAGCAAACACCAGGTATATACCTGCAGACGCCCGTCCAACATCGCCCTGCGGCAAGTCAAAGCAGTTTCTTCAGCAATGGTCTACCAAAGCCTGTGGCAAAGGCAAAGAAGAGCTTTTGGGGTCTGAGAACACAGAGCGAGAGTAATGCTGAGAAGCTGAAGAAGAAGAAAAGTAGCATGTTTTGAGCAAAAGCTAGCATTAGTCTCTTGGAGTTTGGGTCATGGCATTGGATATGGAGTTTCCGACCTTGTGAGTCTTTGTGATACCAGACATTGCAATTTAGATATGTTCATTCACATTCCCCTTCTTTTGTCGGATGTGTTCTTGTTGATCTGCGGCGCCCAGATGCGATCTTACCCCACCTGGGCTAGCGGCAAACTACAATCTTCTGAGGTATGCTCAACACCAACTTGGTTCTTCAACCATCCACTTCATCGCAATCAAATTTGATCAAAACTCGAGTGATGGCTTTCTTTCAAGCTTCATAATGTGGACTCATCCCACCTTCTCAACTGGATGCTGACGGCCAGCACGCGAACCAGCCTCTCTTCGCTAATCCGAAAACTTGCTCACTTGAGCACATTATTCTGGGGTCGGCATGCAGGGTCGCAGCTATAGCTCGCGCCACAACTACCACTGAACCCACAAGCACACCGATTCTAGACTCCTGAACATTGAGGACAAGCCTTCATTGGTTCACCATATGCGTTTCTTCGCTTTCCCAATGCCGTGGTTGCGGATAGACGAGTGGAAAAGACCATGGTGTTTGCTTGGCAGCGGAATGTTGGCGACTTTCTTCCGCTAAGACGACGGCAATGCGGCTAAACAGAGAGTGGAGAGAGGAAGGTTCGTTGGAAGAGCGTGTATAAAGGGTACGGCAGCTGCATGTCAGTTGTTGCACGGTTGTTGAGTAAACACACCCTTCCTCTCCTCTCACATCTCCCCCACGCCTCCAATTCTTCATATCTCCTTCCACATCCTGATACCAACCTCCAATCATGTTGGCCAAATCTTTCCTCGCAGTCGCTGCGCTCGCCGCAGGCGCAAACGCTCACTTCCGCCTCCTCGCACCCACCTGGCGCGGCAGCTCCTTCGAGGAACCAGCCAGCCAATGGATATATCCCTGTGCCAACGTCAATGAGACGACTGACATGGCAAACCGTAAGACTCCACCTCTTTGTCACCCAGCATCCCATCAGCCGACCCAATCAAGCCACTAAACTTCACCAACTAATCAACTATAGGCACTCTCTGGCCCCCCAGTGGCGGTTCGACCATAATAAACGGCAGCCACCCATCCGCCCTTACGGCCGTTAACCTAGCTCTCGGTTCTAATGCCACGAACTTCAACATCACGCTCCTGGAAATGTTCAATCAAACCGGTGCAGGTGTGTTCTGCATGAAAGAGACTGGACGGGCAAACCTAGAGGAAGGATTCAAGGCGGCGGGCTACTCGGGCTTGGATGACGAGAGGATTAATGGGTTGATGGCTACCGTACAGGTCATTCAGCTAGGCCACAGCGGAAGTGCGCTTTACAATGTGAGTTTTGAGTGTTTGGCGGCGAAGGATGTAGAAGAGATATGGAAGTGGTCGGCGTGAGGTTGAATAGAAGTGGGCGAGGCTAACGATTTGTAGTGCGCAGACATCATGTTCAACTCCACAGCTGAATTGCTCTCGGACGATCAATGCCAGAACGGAACAGGGGTTTCAGGTGTCGCTATCGAGAACGCTGCGACTGAGACGACCAACGGATCGTCAGAAGCGTCGGCTACACCAACTGGTGCGGCAAGCAGGCTCAGTCCGGTTGTGGGAAGCGGGTTGTTGGCTGCTGTCCTGGCCTGGGGGTTGTTGTAAAATCTCGCACGAGTTTCCCGAGCTGTGGGGTAGTTGCAAAAGAAGAACGATTGCACTAGGAAGATTATACCTACTAACGCTTTGACGGAGAATACGACTTGTTCCTTTACACTAACACTTGCTGTCCAATCTCAGCCACCGCCTATCCAGATCTTCTGCCCGAGCATCTCGTTTGTTCCTTACCATTTGCGAAGCGAGCCGGTGCCTCGAGGCGAGCCGGTGGCTTGAAGCGAGCAGAACATGACTTCGGCAAAAAAGGACTGTGTGGCTGCTCGTCGGTTCTCATGGGATTTAGCAGAGTCGTATTTTGCATGATCGCTAATCTGAACCGCCTTTTCGGGTATCCCGTATCAGATTTCTTCCGCCTATGAAAGTCCCAACTTCGTCAGCGTTCTTCCTCCCCGCTCTCCCTGTCGTATTCGTCATTATTCTCCTCGTTATCTTCTTCCCCTCCTTCCTCATCTGGCAGTTCATATTCCTGGTCTATTTCATCTTTTGCTGGTGTTTCAGGTTGTTCATCTTCCGAACTCGATTCGCCTTCCGTCATTCCTGCCAGGTGGTATTAGCAGATGTTCAATATGTACTCGAGCGATGAAGTATAGAACAACGAGAAACACATACCGGGATCGCCTTCACGCGTCGACCGATCGCATTGTGTGCATCTGTCTGCGTTTTCTTCGTTGAGCCAGCGACATACTTCGCATGGCCACTGAGGCATCGTCGATAGGCTGCGGAGGGCTCCGATCGGAAAGAGGGCCTACCGGATAGATGAATAAACCGGCGGTGCCGCTCCTGAAGTCAAGGTATACTAACGGCAAATATCATGAATGCCGAGACTGATGTACTGGGATGCCACATTATAGTCTTCCCAGGGTACGGTCTTTTCGCGCTGACCTATCCTGCGATGATTCTGGTGTTAGACTCGCATTGTGTTAGCAATATTCATTGTGAAGTCCTGGCTAGTTTGATGTGAAACTCTATCATTGTCTCATTCATACAAAGCACCGTTCGATGGTACGCATGCATCAACGAGCGCAGATATTGCCTGGACTAAAAAGAATTTCCACAAAGCGAGAACCATAGAGATTTACGCCACAGAAGAATCTACCAAACAGATGTCTACCAATCGATAGTCAAGCGGTGGCTGCACGAAAATTGGTTGGTTATTCCTCAACCGCGACATCTGGATCAGCATGGACGCAAGTGAGTCATTTCTGAACAGTCGCACACATTGGTAATTCCAAACTAGTCTAGAGAAACCAAATGTAAGTCACCTGCTCCTAGTGAATGTCATGATTTCTCGCATCGCAGTCATCTGCTCACTCTGCACATCTCCTTTTAAATCAAAAGGCTGTTCCGTTCCGGTACCCCTATCGACTATAGTTCCAGTCCGCAACTTTTTCTCAACGTTCATGTTATGCGCGGAAGCAAACTTCTCAAAATACGTGATAAAGCCGCCAAGTTTCGTGCTGCGCTATCAAAGAGTACACCTCTACCAATCTCAGCACCGAGTGCTCCTGCAACCATGCTTTTAGACCACCGTCCAAACCAAGACGAAGCAAACAATGAAATTGACGACTGGCTATCTTCCGGTCTGCAGTCTTACGTTGAAGAAGGCCAGCGCATGCGTGACGCAGCAGATGGCATTTTTCCCGCAAGAACCTCATTCGTACAGCGTGGCGATACGTACGCGATGCATAGATACGGCGAGCGTTCTCGTTCTCTACCACCTCAGCTTCGGATAAGAACTCCTTCCGAACCACACCGTGACAACAATGTAGATACTCCGCCTCGCACGCATGAGCGTCTGCGCAACTCCCAAGTAGACCGTCCTGTCATCATTAATGGCGAAGGTCATAATATTCACATCAACTGCGGTCCTGGGCAGCAAAATGTTCACTATAGTGAATCACGCGACGATCGGCACAATTACGACGACGAAGGGTATCATGATGATGGATACAGCGACGACAGTTACGACAATGACTACGAGTACGGCGACGATGAAGAGGATGACCAAGACTACGACGCAGGTTATCAACAGTCAGGGCGTAGCCGCGATGCTCGTGATAACGGTCGCTATCATGATGGGTACGGCAGCCACACTCGCGGTCGCCACATGCCTTACTGCGAATGTCGAGACTGTCAGCCTGACTTGACTCCTGATGATGGAAGTAGCTCTAGCGGATCCAGTGATCATTGGTAGTCGTTGGGTAAGCTATGCGTCTTGCAGGATGTCGTTAAGATGAGTGGTAAGCTGCAACTTCCACTACTTGGGTGCGGATAACTTGTATCATCTTGAGAAATATCTTACAGCTCGATCGTTTCACATGCGAATACTTTTGTTGAAGACAACATTCGCCAGGAAGGGTTGGCACCGTATGCATCATTGAAAGAGACATTGAACAGTTTGGTCATAGTTAGTTAATCTGGACATAGACGTTCAAGTTGGTGATGATGGAATCAAACAAATCTGCTTACCCCTAGATGCCATTATGATCACAACTACTGATAATACTATATTCTGATACATGAGAATTACCTGGTTCTCCGCACCCTTTCCAATATTGCTTTTGTCGGAGGAAGCTCCTTACCGGAACAAGCAAACCCCTAGTCCCAAAAACGATCAACAATCTCTTTCGGCAGCGCCCCGATCCGCTTCTTCGTCTGGTATATTTTCATGTCGTCACCGCTCATTGCCACCAAGATTGCCGACCGATGTTCGGTTTTCTCCTCGACTGTCTTTCGCAACAATTGCAACAGCGTCACAAGCTTCTGAAGCACCTCCTGATTATCTGCTTCCCAACTCTCGAAACCCTTGTAATTGTCTTTATGGTCACCTTTCTGAGTGACACTCTTTATTCGAATGTCCCTTCGCTTGTAGGTCCCATCAAAAGCTGCGTTGTGCTTTCCACCCAGGCAGCAAGTGGGTGTTCGACCCAGCCACATTTGATCGAGGGGCCGAGAGCTAGCATTGCTTTTTAGCTCCAAGATCTGGTGCTGTGGAACAACTTTGCCTTGAGGAATGACTATCGTACCCTGCGATTCATCGCATTGAATGTTCTCGGCGTTGTAGTCGCCTGGATCAAAGCTGGGGTGGACAGTCGGCAGCACATCAGGGTCCCGTGGCGTTACAATAGTCGGATCGTATGCGTCGACCTCATGACGTACGACTAAAGTTAGAGAGCCAAATTTGTACTTTAGCATTCGGTGATGAGTCGTCGCGCCATCGATCTCGGATCCGGTAAGTGCAGCCTCAAAGTTCCGACCGTATGAGTTAGGCGTAGATCTAACCTTCGCGTTGCGCACTTGTCTACCGATGAAGAGGGTATTCTTTTCGAAGTCAAGATGGAGATGAAACTCTTGGAAGGATGTACCCTTCAGGAACTTGATCAGGTTAAGTATTGTGGTGCGGTTAATCACAATATCTACGTCGTTCAAGCGGGTATCAGGGCTCATCAGAGCCATGGCTTGGAAAGCAGGTTCGTACTGGTATATTGGAGCACGTTCCGCGTGCTCGTCCATGAAATGATAGCCAGTATCAGGCGCGACACGAAGTGGGAAATCTTCTGCCCTTGGTCTTTTGAACACTGGGGGAGATCCAGGTACGGAAATTGTGGTCTTCTCTTTGTCCATGAAGCTGTAGCTGCTGACAAGAGAGTAACCATCCGCTGAGGAAACAGTGTCTGGACTTGCATGGATATCGGCAAATGTACCCTCCCAGACAATCATGTCCTCATTCACATTGGTGTACATGTAAGAGTACCACTCCTTACCCTTCTGCTTGGCAAGCGTCTTGAGATTTGGACCGCCGTATTCGCGCTTGCCTGTGTTCTTGTCGATGTAATGTTTCCCGTGGATCAGAGATGTCGAGAACACAGGGTCGGAGGCAGAACGAGGGCGACCGAGATAAAGTGGTTGAGGAGGAAGTTCCAGATCTGTGAAAAAGGTGTTCTGTTCCATTGTTGTGTAAGAAGTGGTTGAACCGGTTGAAAGAGACAGTAGGTCTTGGTAACTGAGGGTTGTGGATGTTACATGATGTTGTGGTATATATATAGATAGGGGGGAAGGATTTCGGTCTTCAGGCATTCATTATACTGAGCGACCATCGCACCTGGGGGAAGGCGCATGGTGAATACTCAGGGCTACCTGTGTGGCTGCGCCCTGAGCTCTGTTCCGTAGTCGGTGCACATACACAGTGCTGGAATTGCGAGAGATTGGTATATATAGAATGAGGCAACCATGAGTTTGTCATAGCCTTTGTGGTTTTGTTCATAACAATACTTGTGCTCTAGGCCGATAGCAAGCACCCCATTAGTCCTATAGGACCTTTGTAAATACCCGTAGGTCGTCAAACCATCGCACCTAGCCTGGAATAGTGAGAGTATAGGCCAGTGTTGGATTCCTATGCTGTTCTCGTACGCTTCTTGAAGAAACTGGTTATTGGCAATCGCACGTGTTTGATTTTCTTGGTCTGTCTGCAGGGCTGCTTAGCCATCAATCTTCTTGGTTCTCGAGGTTGTCGGTGCTTCGTAGGCGCCGAGGTTACTCTAACTCTACTGTTCCGAGCATGGATCGATGGACCAAAAGCCTTGGGGCTGTCATCGAGGTACGCTCTTCTTCTTTGGCCGTATCTGTCTTTATCTCTGCTAGCATGAAGCTTCTTGGCTGGCGGCTCGGGTCGTTTCCTTTCCAGTGACGCGGACCTTTGTTTCGAAGCCAGATCAGTGAACGATCTGCTCTTGCTTTCCCACGGGTGTATATCCTCTTTGTTTCTTTCCTCACTGATTGGATACAAAGGTTTTTCAGAAGGTGCACGGTTTGGATTCTGGCGTCTCCAAATCTCCAGCGCGTTGATAGGTCCTTCTCTAATGAACCACGCATCTTCACCCTCAAGGAGTTTTGTCTCAACGCTTTCCAAGTCATCAACATACCCAAGATCTAGATCCGTATGGGGAATCTTCTCACGCCAAGCGCGACCTATGGCTCGTCGGTAATCACGTTTGGCGTCTTCAAGCTTCGCCTTCTCGCATTGCAACATGTCCATGAAGGCTGGTTTCACAACGCTGTCTCTGAACTCTCCAGGAATGCCATCCTCCCAGGGTGCCCAGCTTGAGTAATGATGACACATGTCTTCAAATCGATCGCGCGCCTTGCGTAAAGCGTTCGCGTATTGGTGCACACTATCTCGAATGCGACCGAGACTTGTAGCGGGCGTCTCACTTACAAGTCGGCGGGTGATGCCACGTCCCTCACCTCTAGGAAGTATTTTATCGTCGATGGAGTCAGGCTGTGTCAGTCCTGCTTGTAGCCAGGCGGAAAGCAATAGTGCACCAACATCCTCCCACGCGTCTCTGCACGCTTGCTCAGCAGAGTTACAGTCTGCCCAAAGCCAGTTTTCATTGTCGATAATGTGATCGAATTCCTTACGCGCAAGGAACGCTCGAGTCACAAGATCTTGTCGTCTGTTGCGTTGCGCGGGACTCGGTGGGTTTAATGAGTCCTGCATAGCTCGGTCGTGATTCGCTAATTTTTCATCAAAAATTTCAATGTCCTTCAGTATCCTCGACTTTTTATCCTGGGTTCTTATGTCGTTATCGTCAATTTTCGTCCAAAGACTCTTGTATCGACGTTCCGCAGCAATCGCCTTACTGATACGTGTCCCTAGATTTTTTGATATGGTAATAGCCGGAACAAGATCTTTGCCGTCATGAGCGTGAACCAGAAGAGGCAAAAATGAAGAGAAGAATTTAGTTGTATCTTCTTTATCCTTCGTCCACCATTCATGGGCTACAAAAGGTCTTCTAGTGTCGTCTACTTCGGCGCTGGGCCTGCACTCGATAAAGGCACTCTGTGGTCCAGGGGTTCTTGAGCTTGAGCTTGAGCTTGAGCTTGAGCTTGAACTTGAACTTTCCAACGAGGACGCTGTGCCCTGCTCCAAATTTGTCCGGATTGGTCTGTTATGCGTGGACACATTTCCTAAGTCTGTCGATTCTTCCAACCTGTTCGTCGAAGCTGGCTTGCTATGAAGCATGTTCGGCTTGGGCATGATGCGTTCGTTTGGTTGTTCGTTCGCGTTGTCCTGTAATGTTACCATCGCACGCTTACCATCACAATAACCGTGATCGTCTGTGTAATGTACGTTGCTGTCATGTGTAGCATAATATTTGCGAACTTGCTTCCGAATCTTAGTGGAACCTGCAGATTCGGCTTGTGTGTGAGTATCCACACGATAGGAATGCAGTACCATCTTTTGAAGGACAAACGACCCGACAGTTGTGTTGAGTTTCGGAACACCAAACAGAGCCCCAGACAAAGAAGTCGGTATGTACGGCTGACAACAAAGGTGTACCGCGCCATTCACTGCCGTTGTCCTCTTTGTTGTCTGAGTCAATAATAAGGAGAGCATATACTATCAGATTTGTTGCAAAACGTGTTTCAACGAAGTGTTTACTCAAGTAGCAGTCATTACAACCAAGAACTAGTGGCCACAGTGTTGTTAAGACCTCGACATCTGATACCCGCATTATCGGCGCATGCTGACCTATCACAGGGGTTTATAACTCGGGCGTTGGGCCCTTTAGAAAGGTAATGAAGGTCTTCGTCTCGTGTCAGTGTCCCTATGGGTTTCATCCGAGCTTAAGACAATTTGTGATTGATCTTGGAGCGTTGCAAGTACTGCACCTTTGCATCACCATCGTTAACATACGCCCGCGAAGCCTGATCGATATATCATATTATCGTCATCGTGAAAGATCATGTACTAAATGGTCTCAATCGTGCCTATGCAAATGACCAGTGTAGAAGCCGCGTAGTGGCAGGAGTGAATGATGTCCTTCGATCGGCTTATGCATGAAGTAACATGAGATTTTTCATTGCTTGAACTTCGACAAATCCACACACGTACCCTGGGCGTGAATACAACAAGATCTGAACACACAATGCGACCTAGCAGCATTGAGTACCTTCTCAAGATTCATGATGCTTGAGCGCTCTTGCCCAGTCAACTGCCCGCTCAATTCAACTGATACTCCGCTGTCAAAGTGCCTAAAACACCCCTTATTCGACCAAACGGCTGGTCTGATAGGTATTCCAGATTATGACGGATAAGTCACGAGAATCCCTTGACCCTGCAGCTCGGCCTCCAGCACAAGACCACCGACCGAGAAACAATCCAGACGAGCATGATCCTGGTAGAGTACGCCGTCATGAAACACCAATTGGAGGCGACCGTGTTCACGATACCGAAGAAGACGCCGCACATTCTGTAGCAAGTGACGTCACCCCGTCGGAACTTGACATGCGGGTACAGAGTCATTGGGGAATTGTTAAACCGGCTTCAGCAAATGTTGTGCGGAATATCGTGAGAGGCTCGCTCATCACTGCACCGGTGATACAGTTCGGAAAAGATCGAGACGGAAGACGGAAGCGGGAACGCGGTTTCTACAAGAGCCCACTCGGCATGATTCTTATCAAGAGGTACCCCTTAGTAGTTTATGATGTCGACCTTGATGAAAGACACTTGCCGAAGAGATTACACTGTATGCAACGTCACACCTATGGGGGAAGTGGGTTGCGGCGAGGGGCCCGCTTACGAGAGGACTATCACCTCCATGTCAAGCTTGTACCGCCCGGTCGTGACAAGAATGACAGAGGCGACGCACCAAATGAGCCTCTCATCATTGAAAGAATGTATAACAGCAAGAAAATATCGGAGAACTCATACCTCGAGTTCAGGAGCATATGTACCGTGGAATTGGATGAATATGTCGTGCTAGACGGACACTTGGAAATGGACAGTTGGGTTCGCCTGTTTGGGCTGTACATGTCCACTGTATCGAGAACTGCAACTCAGCAGCTACAAAAGACTCCAGAGTTTAGAAGACAGATCAGGGATGTCTTTGATGATCTTACCGGAGACCTAGACGAGAACGAACAGAGGGTAGCCGGTGCTGTATCGACAGATCTGATTCAACGCGCCACTAGCAACAACGCCTCACTTCAAAGCCAGCAGTTTCCCGGTGAGCGCGGTGAGGAGATAATATCTACGACCAGAGTTACCCAAAATCATCATCTCAAGACCCGCGAGGGTAACGTCATTAGCAACAACCGGCAAGACACGGAAGTGCGACATCCACGAGGGCGCTCAACGGAGGAGACACGACGTCGACGTAGTAGATCTCCACATGGAGTGGAGCCGGAGCGATATCGTAATCGAGATGATGCGCCTGAGTACTCTTCGCAACCACGGTATGATCGAAACCGGACTCAAGGTTACCATGCGAGACGCGAAAGAAGATGGCCAGATAGTCGCAACGCTGAGAATCGTCATACCATACGCGAGTCGCGGCCCGGACGTCAGATTCGTCAATCTGACTATGATCTTAGGACCGACCGCCAATATGACCGGCGGGGCGGAAGGGGCCAAGGTCGTGATGACGACATGAACATGCGCCAACGCGGCAGGAGCACAGACAGAGGCGACGGACGTAGGTAATCCAGGGGGGAAAGAGTCTAATGAGCGAGCGGCAGTATGCTCTGAGCGGACGTGTAAAGCAGTGACATAATCAGAACGAGGGAATTTGAGAGATGTGGCCGCCCGAACTTCAGCATTTCGACATGGCCGCAGCTGACTTTCTTCAAGTAGGGTGTAGATCTTTGGAATCACCGCGCACAGTTTTCACCATTGCTATACGCAGTGGGGTCACATTATGCTGTCAAAGTGGGGAGCTACCGCATCGTGACGCTTTCCCGTTTTCGGGTGCATACCTAGGTAGGTCACAATCTCCTACTCTAATGTCAAGATGGCATCATTCTCACAACAGGTAGGTATCGAGTGACATAATCGAAAACATTAGCTCACTCTAGCTGTTTATCATCTCGTGAGTGTTCGCCGTGGGCAATCTTAGCTACCAAGCTATAACGATTGCGTCTATCCTTTGGTCATCACACCACCACCATTGGTACCGATCACTTGTCCCGTGATCCACCCAGCCTCAGGCATACACAGCAAGCCGACAACTCCTGCAACCTCATCTAGATACGCCGGCCTCCCACCCATGTCCTTCGCCGCAGCAATGGTATCTTCCGAGTCGATACCTTCTCTCGTCGCAGCCAGTGGCGCCATGTAGTTGAGCGACCAGACCTTCTCCAACATTTCCTTCGGTAGACCCGTATACATGCCAGTAGCCATTGCACCCGGATTGATGGAGTTGACTGTACAGCGTTCGGCGAGCTCTCGTGCCCATACCCGTGTCATTGCTTCAAGAGCGCCTTTAGTACCAGCGTAGCAAGATTGCCACCAAAAGCCCATCGAAGTCGTTATGCTGGAGACATTGATCACACGACCTGATCTATCATGGGGCAGATACGGTAGTGCAGCCTGTAGAATAAATAATGGTGCGCGCGCGTTTAATGCGAAGGTTGCTTCGAAGTCTGACAAGACGACTGAACCCATTGGCGCTGGATTGACAACGCCTGCGTTATTTACTAGTATATCGATCCGAAACCCATCGCCGTTACTGAAAGCTAATTTTACCGCGTCGATCAGTTGGGTTGGGCCGTTAGGCGTAGTGATGTCCACCCTTACTGGTAATGCCCGGACGGAATGCTGATGTTCTATCTCTTGCGATAGAGTAGTCGCGAGCACACTGGATGACTCTGAAGCGTAGTTGATGACGACGTTCGCTCCCTTGGATGCCAGATGATGTGCTAAGGCAGCACCAAACCCTTTCCAACGCTTGTCAACCCCGTCCTTGAGTAGTTATCGGAGGACAATGATGATACGTACCCCGTGATGCGCCAGTGATTATCGCAAGTTTGTTTTCCAAAGGCCTTGTCATGGTGCAAGTGGTGGCTGAGTTGACATGTGCTAGTCTAAGCGCGACCTTCTGAATTCTAATATGCATACACAAGTGACAGCAAACCATGCATAAAACCCAACAAGTTGGTGGCGAACTACCCTGGATGCTGCATACAGCATATCAAACACTTTTCAGGGACTCTGATCCTCCGCGGATGCGGAAGAGCATGGGTATGATCCAGCTCTGGGTTCACAGGCTTGGCCAGATTAGCGGGGAAGGAAATGTGACTCAAGTGTCAATCACAGATTCGTTCGAGCTTTTCACGTTTCAACATTTCACAGAAAATTATCCTCATCCCGACTTGCAATTTACACTCTCCAGATCAGTCGTTCAATCCAGTCTTCCGTCATGCGGCTAAACAATCGCGTTGCCATAGTCACTGGCTCATCCCAGGGAATTGGTAGAGAGATCTGCCATCAATTTTTCGTTGAGGGTGCAGTGCTTGTATGCGCTGATCTTAAGCCAATTGGAAAGGGCGAAACTACTTCTACGCATGAATGGATTGTCGGCGAAGGCGGGCAAGCCATCTTTGTCGAGACCGATGTCAGTGTAGCCTCCAGCTGGGAAGCACTCATCGCAAAAGCTGTCAAGACATATGGGAGGCTTGATATGTACGTATAAACTCGCCTCGTAACCACCCATTCGGAGGACGTAAACTGATATCAGTACTTACAGTGTGGTAAACAACGCAGGCATTTGCGCTGAGGCTAGCAACCCATTACCCATCGACCAAGTCGACGAAGACATGTTCGACGCTCACATGCGCATCAACACACGAGGCGTTTTTCTCGGTTGCAAGTATGCCGTTCGACAATTCAAGGTACAAGAGCCACAATCCAACGGTATGCGCGGCTGGATTGTGAACCTCGCTTCTATGGTCTCCAATATCGGGATGCAGGGACTTAGTAAGTCATCCCGCGCAGGAATTAGCGAGTGATTTGTTTTTAGCGTTGGGCTTACGTTTTCCAGCTGGGTATACAGCGTCTAAGGGTGCCGTTGCAGCTATGACGAGAACCATTGCACTGGACGTCGCGAAAGGAGGCATTGTAGCCAATTGCATCGCTCCTGGATGTAAGTCAACTCTTTCGGTGTGGCAATGGTCGCCCTGACGCTCGTTATCAGTTTCTCAAACCGCCATGCTTGATGATGCGCTTGGTGGGGCCTTGTCCGCCGCAGCGGACGCCGTCAAGGCCTCCATTCCTCGCGGCAGCTTTGGGCACCCCACCGATCATGCAAGGGCTGCGGTGTATCTTGCTAGCGATGATGCGCAATGGGTTACGGGGCAGGTATTGAATGTGGATGGTGGCTTGACCGCGCAGTGAATCATTCTCCTGTAGCATTAGGATCGTTGCAAACATGACGGAGTCGTTGAGGCATAACGCATGTGCCGTGCTTGGGAAGGTCTGGACTGCCGTTCGGCTTTGCGAGTAGAAATCTGTCTAGAACATCTGAGCTTTCGCGACTGATGTAGCTCCATACTGATTGTGGTTGTGCTTGCATGGTATGCAGTGTGCCGGGAGCGGGCAGTTTTCAGGGATGACGCGCCACACCCCGTTTTGTCCGCTCTCCCGTCTTCCCCGCGGCGGGTATCCGGGTGGGTTCCCCCCGTTCCCCCAAGCCTTCCTCACTGTGACGACTTTTCTCCCCTCTCCCCGATCCGGTTCCCTATGAGTCTACTCAAGACCCTGTACCGCCGGTTGTGGCTCGTATTGTAGTGGTAATACTGGTTGTCGCTTAGAAGCCTCACCATGGGATCGGCAGAGTAACGTGGGGGCAAAATATGCGCCTGGACTCGAAAGTATCATTACCATGCCGCATCCTCGCATGTCACGTACGAGATTCACGCTTCATCGCCAGCCTCGATTACGCGACCTTGTCACATCAAAATCGGTGGCCTAAGCGAGCGTGCTTAGCAGCGCAGAGCCCTCGAACGTCTAGGATAATCCTGCGAGGTACTGCTTTGGGGAGTGAAAATGACCGCGACTGGGTCGTTGCTTCAGCAAGAGAGATACCCAACGTTGGAACGTGCCATCTCGTCTCAGTTTGCGAGGAAGATGTGTGTAAATCTCAAGAAAGATTTCATCATTGGGGATCACTGAGGGCGCCATATGTCAAGGGATCCATGGAAGGGGGCGTTTTCAGGCACAGGTGTCTAGTTGCACCGCAGACATAAAGTGGCCATGGAGAAGGGCACGAGAACTCACAAAGAGCTATGTCCGGTCCTACGTCTCCCCAGTTGGCATTAGCCGTCCTCGTTCTCTTACCATTCGATGTCCTAACTTGGGCTCTTCGTTTCCATGTCCGGCTTTCGCGAAAAGCATGGGGGCCAGATGACTGGTCTATGGTGGTAGCAATTGTGAGAGAATAGTTATTATAATGATCTATTACGAGTACTCACGTTCTACAGCCACTCTTCATCGTGTCAACCATGGGCATGCTAGGGATCGCTTTCACAGGAGGTGGGAAAAGAGACAACGAGCTTACTGCAGATGAGAAACAAACCGCAATGTTCGTACGTAAGATGAAAGATCTTCTTAGTTGCTACGCTGACATCTGACAGTGGTGGTTCATCATGCAGACCATGTTCTGTCTAGCTGCCATTCCAGTGAAATGGGCTATCTGCTTTACTTTGCTGCGCATAGCCAATGGCAAGAAGGCATATGAATGGTCGATATATGCCATCATGGCCGCAGTCGCTGCCGTCATGGCTTCAACGACTATATATGAGTTCTTTCATTGCACACCTATCGCGATGAATTGGAGAGCGGTGGAAGGTGGCTCTTGTAAAGCTCAAAGCAACATCACTGGGTTTAGTTTTGCTCTCTCGGCGGTTTCCATCTTCTCAGATTGGTTCTGCGCCATCATGTAAGTTTGTTCGCAACTCGATGAGCTTCGTTGACTTATCATGTCACAGTCCTATCCCACTACTCTGGAATGTCCAGATCGACTTCCGGGTCAAGATTTCCATCATCGCGCTCCTCGGCCTCGGTATATTCGCGTCAACTGCGGCCATCGTTCGTCTTACCGTGACTGTCAACCTTAGTGCGACAACGGACTTCCTCTACTACGCTATGCCAGTAGCGGCCTGGGCACATGCAGAGCTAGGTCTTGGAGTAGTTCTTGCCAACCTCTCGGCTTTGCGCCCGCTCCTCGAGAAGGTGCTCGACATCGGTTCCGCCTTGCGCAGCGGCAGCAAGAAGCGCACCGGCGATCAAGCGTCGGGCGACCGATATATGGAGCTCGAAGAGGGTGTCCGCAATAGAAAGTCCGCGACGCTATCAAAAAGGCTGAGTGTCATGAAGGGAAACGGTGCAACAAGTAGAGGCGAAGACTTAGACGGTGATTCATCTCTAGGAGAAGATGACAGGTCCACAAGAAACATTATGAGCACCGATGGACGACCAAACGCACACAGTATTCAGGTTGATCATGAGTATGAGGTCAGCTACGAGAGTGGGAAAGGCTCATGAAGAGCTTGAGTGATGGTTGAAGAAACTGAGAGTTAACGGTTGATTTATTGGTACAAAGAAGGGGCTCGGGGGTTTTGTCGTCATGGTGATAAATAGTAGGCTGCGTGAATATGGTAACAAGCTATTATGGTTGAGCGCCTCCGACTGAGAGTATGCGTGGAGTGAACCTACTCCAGGTCTGAATCTGTGCCCAACCTTCCGCATTCTATCCCTCCTAAGGCTGGCTTCTTGGGTCTTGCGCATGTACCTGTGATGATTGGGAACCTGTGGCTTGGGATGCAACAGGACCCCTGTCGTCAACGCGTAGCTAATTAGCCATTCTTGTGGTTAGTACCGACGCTCAGCAGTCGTGTAGCGATGTGCATCGCACCCTTGTCCGCCGCAGGTATTGTAGCCCTTGCGAACATCGGCCATCACTGATCATTGGACGGGTACCCCCACCGTCAACCCTTCATCAGTGTGCTGAGGCTCACATCAGGCGGCCTTGCGCCTTTCCGCAACTTACGGCCTCCACAGTCGAGGCCGAATATGTTCATTGATCGGCGGGTATATGTTAGTCACTACCCTTGCGGATTACCGTACCTCAAGGTCTGTCTGAATACCGTGCATACGCTACTGCATCCAGTCACGAAGTGGCGAATCTGAAGCTGATCCAAGGCATGACAAAGGGGTCGGTCGTATCTCGAGATATGCATATCTCTTTGCATGAATCAAGATACCATCTTGTCTTTGGCTAATATATCCCCCCTAGTACACCGATATTGACTTGTATCCTCGTTTCTATTTTTCGCATATCCTTTCCAGGTTTCCGCAAATCGGCCTCCTCGAACACAATGCCCAGTGTAGGAAGCGACAACAGTCCACCAGACATTGTCTCTGAGAAGGCCGTCCCGGAGACTAACAGTCCTCTTACCTCCCTCGACTCCGAAGAGGCAGACAAGCTACGTTCTGAAGCACTTTCGACCGATGTCACCAAGCTCAGAAACGGCTATTTCTCCAGTCCAAGGATTGTAGGGTCATTTTTGGGAACAGGCATCGTTGTTGTTGCGACGTACTTCCAGTTTCAAGCCCTAGCTGCCGCTGTGTCTTCTGTCAACGCAGATATCGGACCCAGCGCCAATATCGCCCTTGTAAATACAGTATGGACTGTGTCACAACCCATCTCGCTTCTGCTATTCGGTCGGCTCAGTGATCGCTTTGGCCGTCGCAACTTTGCCTTGGGTTCCTGTGTGCTTGCGGTCGTCGGCGGCATAATTGCAGCAACAGCACAGTCTATTGAGACGTTGATCGGAGCAGAAGTCATCATGGGTATTGCTTCTGGAGTACCAGCGGCTTATCCACTTTTAGCCGGCGAGCTAGTTAGTAACAAACACAAGTATGTCGGCACTGCTCTGGTTGTCGTGCCCAATGTCATTGCAACGGGATTTGGGGCGTACATTGGCCTGCGGCTAGTCCAGGTGGCTAACTGGAGATGGATCTTTTACGTGTATATCATGATGATGGGTAAGTCAATTCGAAAATGCCTGATTTTGACATACTAATGACAACGTGTAGTGCCTGGCGCTGTCCTATGGTTCTTCTTTTACCATCCACCTTCCTATACTCAGCTCCACGGTAGAAAGTCCAGCAAGCTCGCAGAGCTTAAGAAGGTTGACTGGACGGGCGTCGGTCTCCTTGTTGCTGGCTTAGCTCTCTTCCTTCTTGGTATATCGTGGGGCGGTCCGGCGCAACCTTGGTCCTCTCCAAGAATTCTTGGTCTATTACTCTCGGGTGCTGCAGCCATTGTCGCATTCATCCTTTACGAAGTCTTCTTGCCGCCAGCGCAACCTATCATTCCTATGTATTTCTTCCGCGATATGCGTGGCTTTACCTGTTTGGAGGTCATCTCAGCAACCTACGGCATCATCAACATCGCGCTCTTTGTTATGTGGCCGCAACAGGTTGTCTATATCTTCGGCTCAACTGTGAGCTCGTGGGAGGAGACCGCTTGGCTTTCAACAACAGCTGCATTCGGTCTTTGGGGTGGTATAGTCATCCTCGGGCCACTCATGTCATGGATCGGTCACATCAGATACCAGATCCTAATCTCCTCAATCTGGATGACCGCTTTTCTTGGTGCGATGGCCAGCATCACAGTAGAGGACAAAGCTCGCGCAATCGCTTTCTCGTTTCTCGCAGGCTGGACTATCGGGTGGGGTGAAGTCATAGCAGCAATCGTCGTACAGTATGTAGTCTCCGACCAAGATCTCGGAGTGGCTTTTTGTAAGTTGTTCCTTTCCATGTGAGATGTGCGATGCTTGCTCACAGTGCTCAGCTGTCATCTCAGCATCTCGTACCATTTTCGGTTCCATCTTCACTGCTGCCTTTATCGCAGTGTATACGAACAAGGTGCCAGGCTATCTCACATCGATAGTACCGCAACGTGTTCTAGCCAATGGGCTACCCGCAAGCTCCCTGAGCGCGCTTATGACGGCTGCAGCTACCGCCAATCAAACAGCTCTTCTCGAGATTGATGGCATGACACCGGAGCTCCTTCACACCACCAATATAGCTGTTAGCGACGCCTACTCCAAGTCATACGCCTATGTGTACTACTTTGCTGTAGCTATTGGAGGGCTGGCAATCATTGCATCGCTATGTATGCGAGACTTTGATGAGTATTTGACCGGCCATGTGTCGAGGCAGCTATACCATAAGAGAGACATGAGTACTGATCCACTGGAAGTAACGACGCGAGAAGTCGATGAAGTTCAGAATGGTGATATTGAGGGCAAAATGACAGGCTGAGATCGTTGATATCTGTAGGAGACCAGGCTTGGGATTAACCTTTAGTACGAATAACTTTGCGCGTTGTAGGGTTTACCCTCTTCAGGTTTCGGCGCTTCATGGGAAAATACACTCTCTTTACCCCAGTTACAATATACACTGAAGTACTTTTCAAATGCGGAAAGGCTTAGCCTTGAATATGCCGTAAAAGAAGCTCCTCTTTCGTCCTGCAGGGCTTGTGGTTCGATATATGCGATACATGGCAGGAACATGTGGGACCAACGTAGAGGTACCACTTACGCTGAAAGAGTATAATCCGGGTTCGAGAGCCGAGCGGCCCGAAGAGAGCGTGATGCCAACGAGGTCGAAAGCGGAAGGGAAGTTTGGCGTCTATTTCCTGGGACAATACCCACCGAAGCACTAATCGCATATGTCATCGAGCCTTGGCATGTCGTCATTCAAGTCATTCACGACGCGCTTGTTCCGCGTCAACACTGTTACTCTGGACGCGCAACTAAATTGCTAAAACATACACGCTCATATTCTGGTCGCTAACAATATGATAGTCACGATTCGACGGGTCTTATCTCTTGCATCCGACTCTCGATCCGCCGCCGTCTATCCCCTTCCGCGCGTTCGCTGACGCTGAGCCACTGCTCCGCTTTCTCCGACCTTCGCGACACCGACTGTACTATGGACTCGTGTACTGTTGAAGGATCCGGACAATCCCCAATGCCATCATTCCACACCGACTCGTCTGCCGAGCTCGAAACATCGTCATCGGCGTCCAGCGCCCGCTTCCATTTTTCTGCCATGTGCAGCACATATCCTGCAGGCTTCAAGTTGGGCTTAGCATTGGCATCGATGCCTTTTTTTCCAAGCCTCGATGGCATCATGATCAAGGCTCTTTATCTTAACTGTTGCATACTCCTTAAGGTCGTATGGCATGTTTAGACTCATGTCATCATCTGGACCTACGATGGAGACATGCGCCTCTGCTGCTGCTGCCATCTTAGCCTCATGTGTCTCTTCTGCACGTTTTACTAGTCCTACAAGCTCATAACACGTCCGAACGTGATCACGGCTGAACTCTTCCTCCAGAAGGTGCTTTGATACATCTGGTCGATCGACGGCACCAGCAACGTATGCCGCAAGTCCTCGTCGAAAGGCATCGCGATGCTGCTCGTGCCGTCTTTGAGCTTCACGCAGCTCCCGACGTGCTCTCTTCTCCTCTAATCTGATGTAGGCTCGGGTGTTCTCTAGTTGTCCTTCAAGGGCGCCTCTGCTGTCACGCTGGTCCTTTACAGACGAGAGCTCGTCTATCAGTCCGCATTGCGCAAAGACATCCTGGAAAATATCCTCCACTGGTAACGCGGCTTGTTCCCAAGCTTCACGAGCAAGTTCAATATTCCGTACCAATCTTGATCTCTCTGCCTCAAACGTCGCTTTCTCTTTGTCCAGCTGTTCAATCTCTTGCCGCATGCCTTGAACGACCTTATTTTCCTCGGGGGTTGGTTTTCGGTCTCCCTTGAGCTTCGCCATATTTCGCAAACGTTCCAGAACCCAGTCTCCAAGGATCTCATTCTTTCTGAGTGCCATATCGATCTGCAGCAAGGATGTGTCTCTCGCGTGCCGATATGCCTGGCCATTTGAGACTTGTTTCTCGATCTTCTGGGCCAAGACATACGAAACATTCATTAGCATTACCGGCGGTTTAGAGCTAACCTTGTTCAAAAGGAATAGTTCGGAAACCCCATTAGCACAGAGTTGCTCGATATCCGCCTGGCTCCCACTAATTCTCTTGTTCAAGGCTATCGGGAAAGAGTCCATAATATCGTGGCCATCTTTGCTTGTGTCTTTGTCATCACTTCTAGTTTCCAGAATTCTATCCATTCTTACTCCTTCACATGGTAATACTAACCTTTTTTTGATTGGAGACTTTCTTCCCTGACCGTCACGTTCATGAGATGGTAACGTTTCTTCAATGTTGTTGTTAAGTTTGGCCCGTTTGCTTTGTCCTACTTCCAGTACATCCCTGCCCCCTGCAGTTTCTGAATTATCTTCGACCGTGAGCCCTCGCTTTCTAGTATTCTCAATCTTGCTAGCTGCATAATGAGCTTCTCGTTGGAAGTCGTCATTCATGTTGAGCATGTTTGATATTCGTATCGAAAGCGCCGGAAGTGTTTGCATCTGGTAAATGTATGGTTCGAAAGGAACAAAGCGCCTCTTTGCATTGTTTTCTCATTGTTCGCCGTCATCTCTTCAAGTCGGTAAGCCATGATGATTCTTGGAAGTACTATCAACCAATTGTTACCTTATCAGCGCTCTGCCGATAGTGACGCATCGTTGAAGGCATATGAGCAACAGGTTCTGTGTTGTACGTTGCACCACTACGCTGGTATCCTTCTTTTAGAGCTGGACAATCGGCTGTTCAGCGAACATTGTGAGGTAGAACACTTTGTAGCGAGCAATCTTACCACTATCGCACTTCGTCGTGCAATGTCAACGAACTATGCTTTTATCCAAGGGCGTGGAGGCGCTATGAAAGGTCACCACAAGAACATTCCCATGATCCACATTGGATCTAACCACGGGCGCACCACAGTTTCTGCAGTTGCAAATCAAAGCGGGCTGTTCCAGATCTTGGCAGCCATCTCATTCAATTACACGATGCAAAGTCATATCAATGGATCCCATCCACAAGGGCCTTCAGGTATAACGAGACCGCCTCTAAAGCGCCGACGCTCAAGGTATGCAAGTCTAGTTAGGAGCGACGCGGAATTGAACACACGTCTATGTTCCGCGCTGCCAGTTGATTGGGACGGTTTGATCGTTGATCAATATCCCGACGAACAGACTGAAGCGATCTATCTAATCAAAGCTTCGAACATCAGACAAGAGCGGGCATTGACAGAGAATGAGATTTCCCGATTTGAACCAGGCGATTTGGTGCTGGCAAATGTCCACGAACCGACTACTGATCCCAACGGCAGAGTTGGCGATGATGATGTTACGGCCACGATATTTGGCCAAGCAGTGTCGAAAGCTCGTTTTCACATTCTCCTGGAGAAACACCCAAAGCATGGGGTATTCGCTCCAATTGGGTCACGCGGCTTGAAGGGATTGCAGGGCCTTAGCGAGATGGAGCGACATTGTCGTGTTGGCTTTCGCAAGGCAGAAGAAAACTTCGATCGTGACAAGCTTACCGCAGGAGACCCTGAGTTCTTGTCGTTACACGATCCTGTGGAGCTTCGGCAGGGCGTCCTAGATCGCTGGTCATTTCTGGATCTCTCCTACCGTACGTCCTTATACTGGTCCTCCAACATCCAATTCAAAGGATATCTGACCAGATCCGATACACGCAGAGTACTCGAACTGTATGATAGCTTACGTCGTGTGAGCCCAGATTCAAGCAATAGAGCTGCGCCATTGACTTCCCCAGCAGACAATGACGCTGTCACAAGGCCTTTGCTACCTCTCAGCCCCAAACATGTGAGACAAGATGTCAATCTTCGTTCGGCAGCATTTTATGAGCTGGCGGGGCAAGCTGATTATGAATAACCAACGCTTGACAGGTCCGCTTCCAACGACAAAGATGATCCGGATCGACCGAAAGGCACGGCAGAAGAACAAAAGAGAGCATTTACCAAACGAAACATGGAAAACGCATCAGTCGTCCAAGACCTAGTGAAAACCGAAAAGAAACTCTTCAAGGATGTGGATGATGCCACTCTTAGTGCAGCCCAGGCGGAGATACACGCTAGAAAAACAGTGCTAGAATACCAGGACATGGTGTCGACCGGTACAGCAGGAGAGCATGCCCTTGAGCTGTTCAAGAATGCAGCCGAACAAGCCGTACTAGATCGTGATACGGCACGAGAGAAGAGGGACAGATTGACTGCATCAGTTGAGGAGGTACTGGCGCATCCAGAACTCAGGCCCCGCGTACCTGCTGGCACAGACATCAACGAACAGCGACTGACTATTATCAACAACGCCACCAAGTCGCTTCAGGATCGACTACAGAGTATCGCCAAGCAAAAGTAAGTGTTTATAGTTGGCCTGCTTACATCACTAGGCATGACTAGTCACGGCCACAGTCAAACGTAATATGTTGACTTGCTACAACTGGCATTCGGCATCGAGAATACTCATCAGTGCTATCAACTAGCAATGTGTACGTTTCATTTCTTTTGCGTTCAAGCGTTCATTAGCGGTAAGCAATGAAATTCATCAATTGCATTTGTCCACTGACGAGTATTGCATGATGATTATACAACAGCTCTTCCCGCCAATATAGTGACAATGGCAAGTCATCACGGTGACTCCCATGTGAAACATTGCAGTAGCTCGCAGCACAACACAGGAAATTAGGAAACTGGGCATGAAAATGTTCATATTCGTAGGACATTTACAACGGTCTTGAAATAGGACATAATAAGATATTGGGTATTATCGCATCAAAACATCGTCAACTCCACAGCGCCTCGCTCTTGTTCTCTTACAATAAATTCATGCTCGCGTCAAGTTCGATCCCTCAAAAGCATCATACCATCCCTTCATCTCCCACCGCCGTGACTGCAACCATTGCTTCGTCTTGGCATTTTCGTAGATGTACGGCTGCTTCCACCACTTCTCATGTACACTGACCAGACCTTTAGCAATGTCGTTGTCGTTGGGACAACGGATGTTCCAGGTATAGGCAATCTCCCGCCAAGGCATGGGTCCGTCCCAGCGATGCGCGTGGTTGATAAGGTTTTGTTCGGGATATCGGGGGTCGAAGGAGCCGGGTGTGTTGAGTAGCGTCTTGTAGTACTCGAAGACGGGAAGCGAAGGCGCGAGGATGAAGAACCCGGCGTTCATGTTGCCGGGGCCCTTAAGACCTGTGCCATGTGTAGGCGGGAAAGTATGGGACGAGTCCCAGACTTCGGAGTTGGACGCGAGGAGGTAAGTTGAGGGCAGATCGGTATCGTTGGACGGCTTGGTAGCGAGAAGCTGAGCGGCGGGGTCGTCGAATACTGGGTCGAGATTCTTGAGCAGCATGGAGTCGCCGTCCATCACGACGATGCGATCGTACTGGGTCATCTCCCAAACACGCAGCTTAGTCATTACGTCGTCCCATCTGTGCACCTCGGGGTGGACCCAACTGTCGTTGGCAGTGTGCAGGAATTCTACAGCATGAACGATGGCGCCATCCTTCTCCAGCCGATCGCGTCGTGCCTGGGTGACGGTAGGAGTGACCATGACAATGACATCATGCTTTGTGCGCGTCTCAGGTTTATGAATGAATTGCCAGATGAGGATACGGATGGCTTGGAAGTATTTGTCGTCCTCCAAATTGTCTGCATCGCCATTTGGCTTAAACAGGTCGTCGCCTTCAGTGGGGACTCCCGTGAGGAAAGTAACGTATGCTAGCTTTTCCGGCCTGTCGGTACCAGTGACGTTGGCTTCGAGATAGGGCGGTGGTGTGGGAATCGGTTTCGGCTTTTCGGGTTCGGCGGCTTTGTGGCTGATTAAGGCCGGCATGGGAATTTTGTCGAATGCGCGCGTTTCCACAGCGAGAAAGATGCATGTCGACAATATCACTACTGTCGCCAGTGTGATCCGGATCCATCGAGGGCTTGTGAAGATGTTCCAGGGGCTTGGAGACTTCATCCAGGCGGGCTTTGACCCACCCATGGACGCCAGCATGCTGAAGATACAAAGAAGTGCAAAGTCTACGCAAATTGACAGCAGCGCAGCAGGCTGTATTTCAATCTCATCCCTTTCCACTCCGGTCCCGTAAGCCCTGCCGCATGTGGTTGGACAGCATATTATGCGAAGGGGCAAACCCGATGGGAGGTAGCAGTAACCGTTCGTGAGTCGTGCAAGCCCTGGACAATCCTGCGCTTTGGCCAGACCCTGTCGGACGCTGACAGGCCTGACATTGAAAGCTTGGCGGTAATGCAGAAGTTTGATTAGTTGGTAAGCACTTAGCGGAGATGATCTTGCGCCTTAGCGGTATTTTCAGACCAACTCAGCCCTAGCCGACGCGGTTCCCTGGGCATGGTTGCCTACCGAACAACGTTCAAAAGAAAGGGCCGAACACGCTGCTAATTGAGACTACCAGTGCAGACTACATTCCATCATCGTCATTGAACGTCTATATGAGATGACCTCGAATGGAACGGAGGTAACCGATGTGAGTTCAGATGTGTACTTCGTATTGATATTCTCGCTAGACTGCCAAATTTAGCTAAGCCTATGCTTGTCGTGCCACGACTTTAACCTTGGAACACGCTACAATGGGCGCCTAACAGGGAATTCAGCAAAGCGTGTACTTTTGAAATTTGAAGGAAGACAAACGTCTGCAATAAGCAAATTCTGCTCGTGAGTAGCTCGGCCGCAGTTCCAGACGTTCAGGCTAATCCGGCCGGAACTACGCACGTCCACAACTGGGCTAATTTGGTGTGAGTGCACGCTGAAGAGAAACGCGACGCGGTGACAGCGCATGCATGTCTTGCAAGGTTGAGGAAGGTATCGGCATAGGCCGTTGACGCCGATGCCGTGCACTGCCACCCAGTCAAGCTTACACCTGTTGCGCAATGATCACCAGGAGTGGGGCATGCTGGCTGTCAGCTCTACACGACGAGACATGAACACACACAGAGTGAAATAGGTAAGTAAGATCGACTTATCTGGTCATGCTAGTCAGATATGTTAGCGATTGGCGAACATTGGGTCGAGTTGACACGTATAGGGCCTCCAGATGTCGCAGTATACGTACGCTCCTCTCGCAGACTCGCAAATCCGGTTCCTTCGCATACAACGACATGCAGCCACTCTGCAGCTAGTATGTGACTTAGAACGGGTTGTTGTCCCTTTCGGCGATGGATACACGGCGCTTTCGTATACATGGGGTGACCTTACGCCGACGCGTAGCGTTCTCATCGAAGGCAGAAATCACGATGTTCCTCAGAACCTTTTCGATTTTTTTCAAGCCTACCTCGTCGCTCATCCCGGGGGATCATCACCCAATGGGAATCTTTGGGTTGATCAAATATGTATCAATCAGCTCGATCATGATGAGCGGAGCCAGCAAGTGAGCATGATGGATAAGATATTTCGATCAGCGAGCAAGGTGCTCGTCTGGTTAGGATGTGAGCCTGCTATGGTCGAAGCTGCGCGACAGGTGCGGTATGGCGATGGCGACACTAGTAATGCTGTCGCGACATTGTTGCATCATCCATACTTCTCAAGGGTCTGGATTGTTCAGGAAGTTGCGCTCGCACGTAAAAGGGTTATTGTATGTGGAGACGTGCAGCTCGAATGGAGTGACTTGCTTGATGCTGTAGCAAAGCACTTCGACGTCTTGGACCGCATACCAGCAGTGGTCCATGAAAAAGAACACTACAGAACGCTGGAGATGTGTCTGTACAAGTACTGTTGGAACGACTGTCACGACCCGCGGGACAAGCTGTACGGTCTACTTGGTCTGACTGCTGAAAGGTGGCGCATCAACGTCAACTACAACAAGTCATTACTGGAGGTATATCTGGACGCTGTCTGCGCGATCTGCGAAGAGCTGTTCGACATCCTGGATCCGGACTGTTTTTACGATGGATATATCGAGTCCCCCGTCAACCTCGAAAACTATCGCACAACACTCCTTGCTTTGGGTGTAGCGATGGGTTTTCCTAAGAATCAGCTCATGGGCCTGGGACCCTTCATCGAAGCAATCCAAGTAGTGTACCACAGCACGTATTTACGAAACATCTCGTTCAGTTTCACTGGGCTTCTCCACTCGAAGGAACGAGAGCAAGACTGTGCGTATGATGTAACACACCCGAAAGCAAATATTGCAGTCCGTTGGGGCTCAATCATAGCAACCCGGCGAAATCCTTTCGTACGCGACGTTATCCCTCGGATGGGCTTACAAACAGCCTCAGCTTTATCGCAGGACGATGTACGCGGCGAAGATGATGAAGCAGGACCAGCCTGGGATCGATGGTGGTTCGAGCACAACGGTAGGACGCAATACTTCATCTGCCCACACACCGACGAGGTTGCGCTGTCCAGATCGACAGAGTCTTGAGGTATTCCTTGCCGCTAACGCTTCTGAGTGCCGATATTCCGCGACACTCGTGTCCGGAAATCATAGCCGGTAGAACTCTGTTTCTCAGATGCCATCCTTGTGTTGATCGCCAGTGTATTGGAGATGGAGTCAGGAATCGCCGTCCATATCGAAGGAATCGATGCTAGAGCCTGCAGCCTGGCCTTGGCCGTTCAATTGATGCTAATTGAGGCATTATAATAAGGGCCTCGAATCTTAGCGAGAGGATGGAGATGTGCCTCTGGGCCTGCTGGAGGCCTAAAATCTGTAGGGCAATGGTCATTGGCTTTCGCTGAGCGCTCGAATCTTGGCTTGAATGATGAGCAGTATATAGACTCGGTGGCTGTACTCGGGGTACGTCCTGCAATCTTCATATCCGTCTTTGTAGCCTGCCGTTTTTGAAGGATTCTACAGTCATTCGTGGAACCTCGGACGGCTCGTGGAGGCTGTGCCTTGCCATCGGTAAAAGGCGCCCACCGCTCCTGCATGCCAAGACTTCGGGTAACGTCCCACTAGCGCCACGAATCTGGACCTGCCCTTGACGCGCTCAGGGACTCGGTCTCGACTACCCCGATCAACACATTAAGCGAGTTTTCCGCTATGAAGTACGGGATCTCAGCATCCTGGTTCAGACGATGGGACGATCCAGGTTCATATTCTACCTGTGGCTCAGCTTCGGCTAAGCCTCTTCTTCTCCACAGACATGAGGCTGAGTTCGTTGTAGGCAGCCAGCTGTCGTGTTAGCTGTCTACATACAGCACGCAATGCTGCAATGCAGTCCTGCGACCATTGACTTTGCCTTTTTCACCAACATCCTCTAGACATACTGCTATTCGAGAACCAGGATGGAACGATATAGCATTCCCACATACCAAACAGAGCCATTGGACAGGAGTAGAAGAGAGATCCGGCTGCTGCATCTTCACCCACGAACTACCGATCACATAACGGCTACGTTGAGCGCAGCAGATCTCGAGAGCGCTGCTGAGACTTACTCATGCGTTTCCTATGTGTGGGGAAATCCGAATGAAACGGTACCAATCGAAGTAGACGGGCATGAGATGCAGATCACGCTCAACCTGTTTGACTTTCTGCATCACATCAGAGATCCTAATGATACCCTCATCCTTTGGGTGGATGCTATCTGCATAAACCAAAACGATCTGGAAGAAAAGTCCCACCAAGTGGCGATGATGGGAGACATCTACTCTGGATGTTCAGTCGTGCACGCTTGGTTGGGCACGCCCTCGTCGGAGATGGTACTGGAGATTAATCCATTCGCAATGTTCGAACATATTGCGGATGGAAAGCATTGGCATGATCTTCCGGGCGTTCTTGAAGAGGGAGATGACGAGGGAGCACCAAGTGATGTGTTCGTTGATCAAATGGCTGCGTTTCACCTAATTGCTGACAGTGCATGGTGGACGCGATCATGGACTGTTCAAGAGATCATACTACCCACATCCGGTATTTTGTGGTATGGATCACATAGCATGACCTGGGATCGCTTTGCGCTAGTTTTCGAAAGAGCAAACGCCGCATACGTTCATTGCTGCGCACAAGGTACGGAGGCGACGAAACATTGGGGCCCGAAAATGGATAAGTTCAACCGATTCATGTCCAGCATTGCGATCATCGATAAATTGCGACGATATCGACAACAGACGATCGAACAAGTAGTCGACGTCCTGTCCAGCAACGAACAACCACCATCGTTTCACAACATCTTACTTTCCTTCTCAGGCCGACAATGTAAAGATCCCCGCGATAAGATTTTCTCTGTCCTCGGTTTGGCACCCGCGCGGATGTTTGATGCATACACACCCAACTACCAACAACCATTGACGGATTGCTTCACAGACGTCTATCGAAGAATGTTGGAATACGATAACGATACTTCGAGAGTCTTGTTGGGTAGAGGGTTTGGACCATATAATAAAGGCTTGCCATCTTGGGCCCGTGACCTCTCCAAGCAACATGACGGGCAAGATTGGGAGGAGACCAGAGCGCGGCTTTCTGGCCTATATGATTGTTCCGCAGGGTCATCGAACACAGTCACCGTGAAAGATGGCAGAGAGCTTCACACCAAAGCTAGAAAGGCCGACACCATCCGAGTTGTAGGCAAAACACACCGACTACAGAAATCTGGTGTAGCTTCACAAATTATAGCCATGCTACAGTCGTGGGAGTTGGCGTCGGAAACTTTGACCTATACAGAGGAGGCGCATCTAAACAAAGCATTCATGCGGACTATTTGCGCAACAATCACACAAGACGTGGAAGATAGTGCGCAATGGAGGAGATGCGAAGACGATGACCTGCCCAGCCCCGAATCTTGGCTAAGTCTTCTGACAGGAGAAGGTTACACGTTGCCTTACGCCTTCACATCAGCAATGTTGTTGGCGACGGAAAATCGTTGCTTATTCATTACAGAAGCGGGAAATCTTGGAATGTGCTACCCTGGTACGAAACCTGGAGACGAAGTTTGGGCCTTGTTAGGTATGAACGTACCCTTCGTGCTGCGAAAGGCAAGTGGGAAGCGTCCGCACGAGGATACATATCACTTGATGGGAGACTGTTTCCTGCTTGATCAAATGGATGGAGAGATCATGCAGAACGGTGGAGATACAAAGTCGATAGTTCTGGTTTAACTCACGATTGAGGAACGATCAATACATGATTCGAGGCAGCGGTGCATGATATAGATGTAGAAATCCAAGAAAACTCCTCATGTGAGATTCTATATGCACAAATGTGGTCTGTCGATAGGAGAAACCCTTGCGAATCCAATTTCATTGAAGTACCACTTTGAAACTGACTGCAGAGATGTGACGCGTCATGCATGATTTGGAGTACGGATCTCGCAGTCAAAAGTTGAAGACTTGAGTGCCGTAAACTTGGTTCGTCTCGTTGAACTGACCGATGGTAGAGTTGTAGTTATTGATTGACATGCTTCGGTTGTCCTGTTGAGATCATTAGTCGTTGACTTAAGGAGTACGGTGATAGTATTAAAAACTGACTTTCGAGAGCAAGGCGTCAACCAAGGCTTGATTGAGATCCTTGTCCTGTTGTGCAGTGACTTCTTCGAGAACAGAAAGGCAGTCCTTAGAGCCGATGGCAGAAGCTTCCGCTCTGCACAGCCTGCGCTGCTCTTCGCGTACCGCGGGGAACAATCTCACAAGACCGTCGACAAGATCGGTGACGTCTTTGATCAATTCCTTGAAGCTCTTCTCCTCATATAGTGCCCATTGAACCTTTTGTCGCAAAGGGGTGTTGTTCTGACGCTTTATAGCTAGAGCGCGCATCTTCGCGTGTAATGACTGCCCTAGGGGCCTCATGTCCGTGGCTACGTCGAGAATTGCGAAGTTCGCATCGGGTCCTCCTGTACGACTTCTGTATTCCATGGAAACACCCTCTGCGTTTGCAAAGAGAACCATTATCTGTGACAGCAAGGTTTCGGCTCCGGTGACATCTTCTAGCAGTCCTGATGCTTGCTGGATGCTGTGAGCGCTGTCGATGTCGCCAGCCAATCCAACGGACTCGCCCCAACGCGACAATCGCAGGCGCGCAAGACCTAGCTTGAGCAGGCTAGTCTGGAAGTTGACACCAAACGCGCGACCAAGGCGGACGTATTCGAAGCAGTCTACAGCGTTGTTAAATAGGCCGGCGAGGGCGACGATGCCAACGGCAAGACCAGCTGGTTCCATAGTACCGAGTCAGATAGTGACAACGATGACAGAAGAACGAAGATCGCAAAAATGATGAATTACATTGTTATCAGAAAGCGGCGCGGGTTTTCATCGCCTGTGTTCGCGCGAGGCTGAAACGCTGCCTGCGGCCTGTTGCTGCATGATCCTTCAGCCGCTTGGAGGTCTGCCTCGCACAGCACCTGTCCGACTGTTGAAGCTTTACCGTCCTCTCAATGTCTTCCTTAGGCTGACACGTTATCACTCTGTCTGCTTGCACTGCCCTGCTCTCCCTCTGATGTGTCGCTTCCGATCGTTCTGACCGCTTGGTGAGAATGGACGCGCGCGCGACGGCCCAGACTATTGGCTTCAACAACGAGGGTGGGAGGATCGCTATCCAGGCGGCGGAATACCATGTTTATGGAAATAATATCGTAAAGTATGCGAAATTACTTCATACCGAGACTGGTGGTCGCTAACAAAGCTGTAGTCAAGCACAAGAAGGTGGTCTGAAAAACCTACTGTACGCCGCCGAAGCGCCGTTCAACGCGTATACCCGGCAGCACGACCCGGAATGCCTCCCCTCCACACGAACTGCGCTCTTAGAAGACATATATGCCTGGACCGATGGACACGATGAGCGATGTGTCTACTGGCTAAACGGTCTAGCTGGTACCGGAAAGTCAACAATTGCGCGGACCGTAGCTCGTAGGCACTATGAGCAGAGGAGCCTAGGGGCCAGCTTCTTCTTTACCAGAGGCGGCGGCGACGTTAGTCATGCGCGCAAATTCGTAACGAGCATCGCTGTTCAGCTTGCATACAACGTTCCAGTATCTCGTCAGCACATATATGACGCGATTGCAGAGCGCCCTGATATCCCAAATTCCGCGTTGCGCGACCAGTGGCAGCAACTCGTCCTTCGTCCGTTGTCCGCGCTCAACACCTTAGGCAACATCACTGCTTTAGTTCTAGTCATCGATGCGCTGAATGAGTGCGATGACGATAACGATATTCGGGTAATCATTGGATTGTTGGCTGAAGCGCAGCTACTGAGCGGACCGAAAATGCGCGTATTCTTGACGAGCAGGCCTGAAGTAGCGATCCGGCACGGCTTCTACGATGTGCCAAATACATTACATCAGTGTTTTGTGTTGCACCACATCGCATCCTCTGTTGTCGATGCTGACATAGAGCTCTTCTTGAAGCACAATCTTGCAATCACTGGTCGAGAACAGCGCCTGCCCGCTGATTGGCCAGGCTCAGAGATCATTGCGAAGATGGTGCAAAGGGCCAGTGGTCTTTTTATCTGGGCTGCAACTGCCCATAACTTCATCCGTCTAGGGGGAAAACGCTTTGCTGCGAGAAGATTGAATTCGATAATCAAGGATGACAGTGATCCACAAGTCGAACCCGAGAAACACCTCGATACCATATATACTACCATCCTAAGAAACTCAATCCGTCCGGAGTATACAACTGCAGAGAAAGAAGAGCATTGCGAGATGTTGCGACATATTCTTGGAAGTTTGGTAGTGATAAGATCGCCTCTTACCGTCCGATCATTGGGTGGGCTACTAGACATGACAGAGGAAGACATTCGGTCCATTTTGGAAGACTTGCATGCTATCCTGGATGTCCCAACAGACGAGATGCGACCACTTCGCATTCATCACCCCTCGTTACGTGATTTTCTGCTGGATAAAAGCCGATGTACCGATGCCGATTTCTGGGTAGACAAAGTCCAAATTCATACTGCATTAACATCACGGTGCTTTACATTTATAGAAAGCTTTTTCGAGCAGAACGAAGGGAGCAACAGGAAACTCGTATTGAAGAGACATGAGGACTTGTCTTCAGAGCGAACAAGGGACACATTAGAGATACCAGTGGAGTTTGGGATGCGCGTAAAGTATATGGAGAAGTTGGCAAACATTTACGAACAGCATGAAGAGGATGTAGAGGACCTTCGCAGAGAGGTAGAGAACTCTCTTAGAAAGACACAGGAATCTATTAGAGAGGCAGAGGAATCTATTAAATGGTTAGAGGAATCTATAAGAGAGGGAGAGGAATCTAATAGAAAGGCAGAGGAAATTAATAGAGTGGCAGAAGAATCTATTAGATGGGTAGAAGAATCTATTAGAGGGGTAGAGAACGTTGGCAAAGAAGTAGAGAACCTTTGTAGAGGGACAGAGAACTGTTCTGAAGAAGTAGAGAACTCTCTTGGAGAGGCAGAGAACTGTCTTAGCGATGACGAAGCAATACCTATGAGAGAGACAGTGAGTAAAATCAGAGAAATAGTAGCCTCTCAAAGAGAGACAGGGAGCGAAACTAGAGAAAGAATAGCCTCTCAAAGAGAGATAGAGAGCAAGATTAGAGAAAGAGTGGCTTTTCTAAGAAAGACAGAGAGCAAGTTCAAAGAAATGGCCTTTTCAAGAAGAGATAGAGTGAGCGAAATCAGAGACAGAGCGAGCGGTTTTAGAGGCAGCATTGCTGAGCATAAAGCATTTGCAGAACGTGGACTCAAATTACTTGGTATGCCGAAGGGACATAGCGGCGTTAGATTGGATATCTATAAGGGACCCGATGAGTATGGGGAAGCGTTACGCTTTACGGATCTCCATTACGCGTGTTGCAACTGGGCTTATCACCTCGAACAAAGTGGGCTAAAGGTCGTTGATGGTGGACAAGCTCATACATTTTTCAAGGAGTATGCTGAAGACTGGGCAATGATGCTGGTGACCTGGTCGGAGCACGCTTCATTAATGGACAATATAACGCGTCTCGACAAATGTACTTCTGTAAGTCGTGCATAAATTGTCCAAGTTCAGGTGCTAATTGTATACAGAAGGCAGCCACCCCCCAGTTCTACGCGCTGCTCTGCGAAACGTTGAGCGGATACTGGCATGCCATGACCAGCGTCATTGACCTTATCGAACACCTCTCCCTAGCTACAGAACAAGAGGAAAGAGTAGATTGATAGATTGATTGCGGGTTTTGAATATCTTATACCAAACCAGCTGAGAAGATATATGCCCAACCACCGGTGGATGGCAGGGGGTATCGTAGACCAAAAAAACAAAATCCAACCCAACAGCAAGACGAAAACGAAGACATGCTCACAAAAAAAATCGCAATCTAGCGCCAAAGTGATAGACAGATATGCCACCCGTTTCCAAAGTCCCCACCCCAAACAACCAACCGACCACATCCACATTATAAGTATATCCGCGGGGTCATCGTCTCGTGATCGAATCGCGTCCATCGTCTCATCTCCTAGCATCACTTTCCCTCCTATTACTCGGGGCAACACTGCTCTCTCTCCTATTACTCGGTGCAATACTGCTCGCCGCAATACTAACAACATCGCTCATGCTATCCTGATCCCTCTGGTAGCTGTACTGCATTCCCTCACCGGGGCCTTTGAACCCGTTGTCCCAAGCGGAAATGCGCGAAAGAAGCCTAAACACCCATTAAAACGATTCTTAAGCACACAGCAAAGTGTGCGCAGTTATATGCGGAATGGTGAGCGCTCACCGATCGTCTGGCGGCCCGTAGTATTCTTCGGGAATGAGCTCGTAGTCGCCTTCGACGGGGAGGTAGAAGGCGGAGACGGCGATGCCGACGGAAGTCAGGAAGAGGATGGTCCAGCTGGCGGTGCAGAGAGACCACGAGAGGTCAAGGTGCCAGCCCTTCCAGAAGCGGTCGTCGTTGTCGAAGAGGAATGCCTGGAGGTGTTAGTACTGCGCATTGCTTTGCTTCTGCGATATGGACCCTGCAGCACGCAGGGACAACGTACCACTATGGCCATGCCGGCGCACTGGACGATGGCGCTGAAGGAGAGTACGCCAACGGCCACCTGCCAGCCTGCGGCCCTGCGCTGCACCCCACCAGAGATGATGACAATGAAGGATACGATGGCGCATAGCTCAACGACGACGCCAAAAGATGTCAGGAAACCGACGGTCCTCCACATATTGCAGAAGGACGGATCCTTTGTGCAGTCGCTCATCTTGGGGAAGGGAACGCAGGTGCCTGTGACGGCGGAGCAGCGACTGTGTAGGCCGTACGAGTATTCGCGCTCGCCGTTGGGACTGTAGCTGACCCATCGCGGCATAGAGATACTGGCGATGGTCATGATGGTGCCTGCCTAGTCAGTCGCTACTTCCTCTTTCAAAAGTTTTCGTCTCTTACAGGCCAGTGTGAGGATGAGCCCCACCCCATATACAATTCTTCGCGTCATGGTGGATGTATCAACAGTGTATCTCTAGAGGTAAGATGTCGAGGTGAGGAAGAAACAAGTCCGAATTTCTTGTCGGATCGGTGGCGCAATGCGAGGAGCTGCGGGGTTTTTGATACGGAAGGATGCGCGATTAGGTGTGAGGCGTGCAGCGTGCAGGCGAGAGGCTCTAGGCGGCGGTACAAAGGGTTGCAGGCGTGCAGGCGTTCTCTGCGGAGGCGCCACCAGCGGATCGACGCAGAAGGCAAAGAGATGCGATCACAAGTAAACGTTCTGACAGGTGACAGTGTTTTTGAGGGGAGACGCGGGGAGCGGATTGAGCCGGGGCTACAAGTCGGTCAGGTCAGGACACCATGGGCGTGATGATGGAGGGTGTGAAAAACGCTGCTCTCCCGTCTCAAGTCGCGCTAGGAGGGGAGGTGCACTCAATGACGACAAGGGTGAGCTCGGACGCCTTTCCCCACGCATACGCGCGAAGACCACCCTGGGGCTTTCACCGCTAGGAATACTTTCTCTACCTACTGATAGCGCACCGCGCCTTGTGGGTATTGATAGCCTCGTCATGTTTGTACCTTCTCATTTGGTGTTTATGCATCATACTACAAACATTCCCCCTCCAACACACGACCACACGGTAATTGTTGGGGCATGCGGGCGCAGACTGTGTGTATCGCATTTGAGAATAGCGGTGTCAAATCCCATGTTGTGCTTTGCGCCGCCCTCCGATCGCCGATCATGTCGTGATAGACTCTGCCATGATCCTAGACCTTGTTACTTCCTTGGA